AAATTTTGAGAAAATGTAGTGCTTATATTCGAAATGTGTGACTGGCAGTGATCGTTTGCTACCGTAGTCTGATCTTATTGACTTGGACGTATTGTGTAACTAATCGTACGTTACTGAATTCAAAAAAATGTAAGAAAATGTTTTTTGCGCTAATTAATATATCACATCCCCCAAAAAGGCTTCAACTCCTCGGCTTTATAGACAAATAGTCTAAAGTATTTGACGACCACTACATTGTCAAGTGGACTTCGGTTAGACCAATACTAGAATACTCAGGTCTTGTTTGGCTTTCTAATCTTAAGCGCCTACTCCCTTTTATGAAATCTGTTTAACACGACTTTGCCTGGCTTGATTTGGGATGAGATCTTACCTTACCTCTTCCACCATATGAAAATTGACTGAATCCTATCTATTTACCTGCACTAAAGAAAATATGTGAAAGCTTCAGTCTAACTTTCTTACTTAAACTAATAAATCATGATATTTACTCGTGCGCCTTTTTGAATTGTATTGATATAAAATTCAATTGCAGGTTTTCAACGAGTGCAACCTCTTACTCGATTTCTCAGTCCCTTGCGCTAGTCTGATTAAATGCATTACCTTACGTAACTCAAAATAGAAATTTGTGCAAGCACTCAAGTTGTTCAGATTATAAATTTTTTTATTATAGATTATAGATTTTTTTCTTATTTATTGTAATTAATTAATTAATAGTGCATATGATTTGCACATATTCTCCCATAAACACGCAGATAACGAAAGGACATGTTTATGTGTTTATACCAGATCACATAAATGCGTAACCTCATGGAAGTTTTAATGTCCATTTACACATTGTATACAGAGACAAAATACTAAAAGTTATTGGGGTAAAATTAACCAATTATAATAAATCGAAATTTGTAATATGTGGTTTTTCCAATTTTGACGGCTTTGCCTTATCCTTACTTTTTAAACGGTCAAACATTTATTTCTTAGTGCATTTTACAAAAGATTTAAATTAAAATGTACCATGTCGAAATAATTTTATAGCATTCATGGTTTTCAATTGCTAACACCGTAAAATGGAAGTTCACTAATTACTGCAGTGTCTTCCGTAACATTCGATCACGTATAAATTTAATCACAATAGCAGCTAGTCATGTCCCTGCTAAGCAATCCATTGCCAAACATCTTCGATTTGATTTTTGATCTTGCTTGGACAGCAACGTACAATGATAAGTGGGCATGGAAACAGAGGAATAATTACCTTAGGAAAGAAATAAATATCAGACACGTCAGTATTGCCCGCTAAAGCCACGTTTTTATTTTCTATATGCGGTATGTGAGGTTTCGAATACAAATAGAGAAGTTTTTATGTAAAGCTCGCAAATTTTCGCCGGTGGCGCCATATATTTCCGCACTGCAAAAACTGGCACAACTAGTCAAGTTAGGTTAGGTTCAGCATTGCTGGGACGCCATAGTCCTCTCCTAACAATGATATTAGACGAGAATTAGTTTCGGTTCCATCGAGGAAAGCTGTATTTATTTGCAGGCTGGCGCCCTGCACGGCAGTAGAAGATATGAAATTTCATATCGCAACGAAAATTCCTAAAATTAACTCTGGCAGAATTTTTGATTAAGTTGAAGCTAGCAGAGAAAAGGAAAATTGCTTCTTTTAAAGTATTGTTGCCCGCGGAAGAATTCAATGCTGTCCTGGGAAAGTCATTCTGTGTAGAAGGATTCACTCTGTTTAGAGAATTCACACCTTTGGCAGTGAGGATAAATAAACCGCATACTGTGTTGCCGGCAAGAAACTAGCAACCTAGGGAAGGTTCAGTAACTTTCATTTATTAAAATGTTACGGGCCTACAATCTCCTCAAGTAAACGTTACGATTTTCATAACACTAATATCTTAATTTCATCTTTCACACATTGTCGTCGATTTTTCTGCTGAGAACACTAACATCATCGTTTTATAATATATTAAACCTAGCTATTTCTGCATCCGTTCAAATCGATTCTTTCTGAAAACCCCGAAAGAATTGTAAAAAGTTTCGAAGAGTGTAAATCAGGCTTTAACCAGGTTTCAGCGAAAACCATTTAGGAAAGTAGAGCGAATTATTGAGTTTAGGCCTCTAACATTTTGATAAATGGAAATGGGCAGAAAGAAACATTTAATTTTTGGAGGGCGGAAGAATTACCGAATTAGTATTACGAGGACGATCCTTTATTAAGGTTCCAATTTGCCACAATGGTTTGTTTAACAAAATTTCCATGTTTTCAGCCGCAATTAACACCTTAAAGACGAAATAGCTCTGTGGTGAGATGGAACCAATTGTACATGGTTCAAATTGACTGAAGGGATTTTTGCAGCCAGTTAGCTTTTCATACTCAGAGGTATATGGCGTCAGTGTTGATGCGAACAATCCCGTCAAGCAGATGTCATCCGTACTAGAAACGCTAGGATTCACGAGTAGACAATTTTGAGTTGGAGCTAGCAAACACATATTAGCTATTTTTTAGGGTTAAAAAGTCGTACCTTTCCCTACCTTATCGAAGGCCTTTTCCACATCAAGAAAAAGAAGATCGCAATAGCTTTTACATTCGATCGCTTCTTCGATGTACATGATGTTTATATCCCGAAACCGAACTGGTGCTCAGGAATAATAAGATGTTCCTCTAGAACTGGGCTTAGCCTTCGTAGATATATTTTCTCAAAAATTTTAAAAAAAGTATCTAATTCCTCACAACATTTTCTCGCTTAGTAGTTTTAACGACCGAAATTGTTTCTACGCATTTCCATTGAGTTGAAAAGTCATCCAATGTTAGCACATTGTTAAAAGTTAATTTTAAAAAGATGGATGTTCGTAAAGATTTAATGATTACCCCACTCTCTTTAGACATCAGAAAAACGCGAACTAAGCTTTCTTAAAAGAAGAAGTAAATTTACGAAGATTACATTTAACAGAAATAAATTGTTGAAACTTGTCACGGGGTTAGCCCCTTTCGGCCGGTAGAGCATATAAATATATGTATATATTTTTTTTTTTTTTTTTTTTTTTTTGACCTGGGGTTTGGCTCTCGGAGCCTCCTGACAAAGGAAAAATAAAAAAAATAAACTAAAAGAACGTAAAGGTCCGGTCGGCTGTCTGCTGTCCGTCTGTCACCAGGGAGTCAGTCGGTCATCGTCTAGTGTCGGCCCTACATAGCCACCATATGCACGCCCCTACGTCTCAGCCACAGCGGTGGCAGCTCGCGCTTAGCCACTCATTGGGAACAACAAAATTACAAGGGAATAAATAGCTAAAGGGACTTACAGTACGATCCTCTCTTGATGTAGTGCTGCCTCTTTCGGCGGCTCCCGTCCACGGCAAGGAAGCAGGGCGTTCTTCTTACCGCGTTGGCACAATCACGACACGGCTGGGTTGTAGGTGCACGTGGGTGCGCGGGATTCCTAGGCTAACGAAACTGGCAAATTAATCCTCCTTCTCTTACCGCATCTTGACTGAAGTAAACACAAAATGATGAAACTTTTTCTTTTGACATTTAATGTTCACTGGTGAACTTTTATTTCAGTAGGAATTTCTTAGGGCAATCAACATCGTTTTACAATCGTAGAATTTCTGTACAAATAATTGAGTTAGATGACAAAGTCTTTTTCGTGTTGGCTAAATGGCAGTAACCAACTCACAATATGTATATAAATATTTTTCTTATCATTTATTTATATTGTTTTTTTTTTTGTTCCAAAAGCAAGCATATCAAAAGAAATTCCTTTTTTCCTCTTTTTTTCTTGTTTTTCTTTTTTTTTTTCTTTATGTTATACAGGGTTGGTGGGTTATATATCCTTTTACACAGTTTAGCCACCAATATGTTTCTATGAACGTCAATGATACTTAAAAATAATATATTCATACACGAATGCGATGCGCTTTGATTGGTACGTTCAACCGGCACACTCAACTCTTTACCTCGTTTTCCTTGCACAATTGTTCCTGCTTCTCTTGTTTTTCACTCTATTGATTGACTTTATAGGGATTTCCATAACTTGATGGAGGAATATAGAAACGGAGTTTCACTAATATACAGGTTGATAACCAATTTGATCGGTCCAATGTTACTCAAAGTTTTTCCTCACATAAGAAAAAAAAATTATTACTCTTTGTGTAAAATTCATATGTGTTCCGAACAAAAATTTCTTAGAAAGTTACTTTGGGAATATACAACATTTTCGTACTTCGTTTTCGTTTTGTGACTCTCTGTACGGAAGCCCTGATATTTTATATCGTTTTTTTTTTTTTTTATTTAGCACGTACACTATATACACGACGTTTTCATGTAAGTTAGCTCGTTTAAGCTACTTTTGCATATTCCGTCCTTCACAAACTAAAGGGCTTCGAAATTAAAATGGGTTAAACAATAAAACTGTTTAGCAATCGACGTAAGAAATTATTTTTGCTTTTGTCGCGTGGTTTGTAGCAACATTTTTATTGATTCGATTAATAGTCCGTAAGCTTATCGTTGACGTCTTCCCTTCAACTTCTCAAACTCAACTGAACGCTATCTTGAAATTAAAAAGCAGACAGACTTCTCATTCTTCCTCAATTTCCCTCTTCTTCTTCCTGTTGCTCTCTCTATAACGGCTTGCCGCTACTCTCACAAGAGCAAGCATAGATCCCGCAAAATCGTACGATTTTGCCTATGCTTGCAAGAGCAAAAGGAAAAAAAGGAGTACCGCAAAATCATACGATTCTGCCTGTACTTGCAAAAGCAAGCAAAGGTACCGCAAAATCATACGATTTTTGCCTGTACTTGTAAGTAAGGAAATCAGAAAAGAACAAAATAAACACATATACCGCAAGATCATGCGATTTATTAGCGGTACCACAAAATCGCATGATTTTGTCTAACGGCATGCCGTTATTCCGCCGCTTGCGGTTGATACAGACCGACAGACAACCCTACCCGAGGTTTGTTCGCGGCCGTTACAAACTTTGAGCAAATTTTTTTAATGTTGACCTGCTCCGGAAGAGAAAAAGTGTTTCCTACAACGTTTACGTGTTCTTGTGTTAACGTTCTTTCCCACAACGATGTATTTCTCCCGATTTTATATAAATGTCCACTGCATCCTGACTACTGCGACTAAAATAACAATATAAATGGATAATTTGATATTGTGTCATGTGGCGGCGGTTACCAGACGTTACTCATCATATAATTGTTTAACATCGTGGGATTCATATGATAAAATACCCAGGTAAGAGTTTCATACGGTGAATAAATAAATAAAACGGAATCAACCAAAATCCTTACGATGGAAATCATACAGGGAGCTACAAAATTACTTTCCGTTGCCGCCCTTTCTTTTTAAACCAACACGAAAGATAACTTTTCAAGCACAGTTCTAAAACTAATAAATTAAAACTAATAATAAAAAAAATCGTCTACCTGCAGAAGAAAACAATAGTTTTTATGTTAAAACAAGAATGACTTTTTTTAAAAAATTTTACTGAATTTTCACGCGTTCACCTTAACCGTAGGCCGACTATGACATTTAAACAAAAGAAATTGACGAAAATTGAACTAAAATAAAAAACATAAACATAAATAAAAAATAAAAAATAGAAACCAGCACAAACAGGCGAGAAAATTATATTCGGCTACAGCCGCACCTTCTACATACAGCATACGCCAATATATATTGTAAGTTGGAAAGTCTAGGTCAAATCCAAATTCTTCTACAAATTATTAGACGATATCATCATTTTTGCAACTCGGAGGTACTACCCAAGATAGTACATAATTTGGCAGACGGGAATGTAGGCATTCTGAATTTGACAATGGCAAAAGTTTTGATGAACAAATCAAATTACTATATTATTGTTTACGCAAGGTAAATTTTTTCCAATCTTCACTCTAGCATTGATTATAGAATACAGACTGAAATTTTTATAGATATACTTGGTGTAATAAGCAAAATGAGGTTTTTTCAATTTACGTGGTTCTAATCAAAAATGTATATATACTTTGCCGGGTCTCTGAAGCTTCATTCATACAAGCATTTCGACATAATGAACGTATCCATCAGTTTTGGTTGTTCAGAGTGGCATTTATAAGGGAAACAGCTGTAAATTGAGAACAAAGTAAATTCCATACAAAATTGATTGCTTACAAACAGCTGTGTCAACAAAAAAATAATTTAAATAAATTAATTAACAAAACAAAAATGACGAGAAAGACATCTTGCTCCATTCATCTTGTAGTCTATTTTTCAGATCTTGGACTAACGAGATTTAATGTTTTCGCACACAGCGGTCTAATTCATCCCACGTATTTCTGTTGGGATTCAGTTCTGGTGAATTGGTGGAGAGGGTGAAGCACTTTGGACTTGTTATATAAGACGCATTCTTTAATTAAGCGGAACTAATACCTGGGTCTATTAAATAACACTCCTTGTTTAGAATGTTAGCGCGTCTCGTCAAATTGAAAACCTACAGGGTTTCCCAAAAGCAGAGTCTACATAATTCGGAGATAAATACCATTTACCTGATATATATCTATAACTCAAGTGAAACGTCTGCCGATTCCAATGAATTGAAGGTAATTTGGAAAAATTACGGACAAAGTTGGTATTTTGGAGACATTTAAACTTTACCAAAACAAGCAATAAGTTCTGCTTAATTCAAGAATAACTCTTATATAACTTCGCCAAGGTGGTTCCCCAATCACCAAGTATGAACCACATCAAAAGTATGTGGAGTGAACTACACCGCCGCCTGCGAAAATACTCAATCTTTTCCGTCCAAGATTTGAAAAATATACTATACGAAGAATGGAATAAGATTTCCTGCACAAGAAAATTTTTACAAAATATGTCGAAATGTTTAAACGACATTATTAACCATAAAGGCAGCCCCACGAAATATCAATTTTTAATAATATGCTATTTTTGCTTCTTTATATGAAAAAAAACCAAAATTAATGACATTATATTTTTGTAGCTTTGAAGTTTCTTTATTTTCTTGTCTACAGGAATAATGTTTTGTTTTTTTTTTTTTATTTTAGTATGTAAATAGTATGTATGCCATCTTTTTCCACTTGATATAGGTTTCTATTTTTTTCATTTAGTAAAAACTATATAAACTATGTGAATAGTAAGCGTATAATAAATTTTTCAAAATTTATTTTGCATTATTTTCCAATTTATTCACAAAATATTCACATATAGTTGGTGTGTTTGTTTATTTATCAAAGAGTGGATCCAACTCTCCGTTTTCAGTTTTTGTTGGCCACGATGTATACAAAAGTTTCTTTCTTTTTTTCTTCTTTTCCATTTACATATGAGTGGTAGCAACAAAAATGGCACGAAAGTCTGACGCGATTAAGACAAACAACTTCATCATCTATCGGGTTCGTCCCGAACGGGAGTTACCTTTTAGATACTTGCCTGCACTTGTACGTATTCTTCGTCGTTCTTATTGAATTCTTTTTCCGAATGAAGGTTTCCGAAGGTGGATTCCGTAGTCTTGATGAGCATACAAAATAAATTTCCAACAACATTTAGCAAGATATCGCTAAACTGACAACGTGAGACTTCGGATAAAGTTTCCTTTCTCAACGCATAATACAAAATCAGTCGAATACATAGGATGCGTGCGTTCAAGAGGTAAAACCATATGGCTGGCAACTGTTTTTATAAATATTAATAGAAAGCAAAATTATTGAAGCGAAAATTATCTTCGAAAAATGATTTTTTAAAGCAAAATACAATTAATAAAACTCAACAAATTTTTTACCTACTGAAAAAGATGGTGACTATAATTTAATTTTCGAGCCAAAGTTTTAAAAAAATCGAACAACAATTTCATTTTAACCAATTCGAAATAAAATTTCCCATACTAAAAAAATCGAATTGAAATTTCTTTTACTAACAAAATCGAACCAAAATTTTAACAACATCAGGTAGTATTCGCCAATAAAACGGGAAAGTTAATAGCACTATAACTCCTACATATTTCTCCTACAACATTTCTACAATTTTAGAAGAATAAAGTGTTTTCGTAGATTTAAACACATTGATACCAATGCACTTTTGTGCATATGTTGTCAAAAACGCATGCGTTGTGTGTGTTGTTGTTATATTACGTTGTCACTCTATCCTTAAATGTCATGTCACAGCCAGGAAAATGTATTCATTACATAAACTTGTTTGCAATAGAGTCGTTTTCGTAGTTATAATCAAGGAAACTGTATACAATATCATTAAATTTAATTTAATCTCAAAAAAAAAATTCACAATCTGGAATAAATGAAACTGTTTGAACTGAACTGTTATTTGCTTAAATACAAGAAGAAAATCATCTAAGATTTTATGTTCTTACAGCAAAGTTTTTTTAAAGTAACCACTTCCTACCACTAACACAATATATGCTACTTAACGGCAAAAGAAAACTACGACTTGACTTAATTTTTTGCTTCATATAACCTTGAAGTCGTAGTCTTTTTCAAAACCTTTTTGTTAACCATTTGGTACCCCAAATATAACTTCGGAGTTGTCTGTGTGAACGAAAATAGGTCGTGTTTCGATTACCTTTCACCCGGCTTTTTATAGCTACCTTTGAAGCAGTCAGAAGGAATCTTCACACACCGGGATCAACATCAAATTGTAAACCGATTCTATTGCGTCTGTGTAAAGTTTGTGGTAAATATTCTTTTGGTCGTAGAAATGAAGTTATGAGCCCCAAATTGGTCAGAAACATTGATAGTCGTTGCACACAGGCTGATATTGGGATCGGTTAAAAGACAAATCCACAATATAATAAAAATTGGGAACATCTCGGCTTTCTTCAGCAAACGTAGAAGGGAAAATTCCACGTATATTTTGCAAAAAATGTATGTTTTTCCTATTTTTCCTTAGTGTCTTTTAAAATGAATGTCGTGGGTATAAAAGATTTTATCATAGCTGAATGTATTCTTTTGTCTTCTTCTCTGTTTTATTTAATGTGCCTTACACGCCACGTAGTAAATATATATTTAGAACACGTAAAAAAAAATTTGATCGCGTAAAAACTTAGATTATTAAACTAATATTGTATAAGTGTGAACATGTAATTAATCGCAAAGCCACCTTAGAAAAAAACATTTTGTATGGTGTATGAAGTGCCCCGTCTTTTGTACTGTGCTTGAAACGAATTACTTAACCTAAAAAACGCAGTAGCATATTCGCCATTAGAAGAAACAAAATAAAAAACTATGTTTGGCTGTGTCCGGCTCTTCTGTATTCAATACCTTTATAGTAAAATCTACAGCTTACAGCTGCATATTATGGATAATGAAGAACAGATCCATTTACCTTGCACTGTGAAAGCATCTGTTAGCCCATTTCCAATACCAAGTTAGCTGCCACAATTTCCAATATTTTTGCCCAATTTGAAACTGAAGTTTTGATTTTTAGAGGATATTTACCACTAGCAACTAAATGAACGAGCAACAAGGCGAACAGGCAAACTTGCACCGATGATCTCAGTACTTAATACTGATCAATAATGTCAATAATATAGTTGCATGCTTTTAAGGTCCATGAATTTTCTTGGAATGTGTTTGGGGGTGTTTTGAACCTCTATACTGTTGGACTAACATAACTATTTTTTCGCTTCTGCACAAGTGCCGAATGATCAGTTACAGAATATACGTAGCAATATTTATCGTTTTGTCTATTATTGTGTATGAATGATTAACGATCGAAAGAATGAAGAATAACTATTCAAGTGCAGCAGGAATTAAGTTTAATAATTGGATCTTAAAAAGCATTAAGAAAATTTCATAAGACTGTAATTGCCCTCCACAACGATCTAGCTTGAATTAATTTATTATTTAATATATATTAGACCTTCTGTGTAAAATGCCAGGTTTTGTGCAGAATAGGAGTCATTTAGTGGAAAGTTTACTTTACCTATTTAATTTGGAGGATGGTGGTGCAATGCACATTTGTTTATATATAAATAAAAATTAAATAAAAGTATAAGCTGTTTCAATTACGTCTGATACAAATAAATACATGATAAATACTTCTTTAAATAAGCTGAAATGTGGTAAATACACCATTTTCCAGTTATATTTATATAAGTACACACAAAAGGTTGTGCGATTAAGATTTTATCGTATAAGAAATTGGATTTCTTTTAGAAATAACACACTTAGCTCGTCGCATTCTAATCTGGATACCATTCTAACTGTAAAGAAAATTTAACGGTACTACATTCCTCCCTGCGACGGGAAACCCAGTACGGATAAGTCATCGAGTGTCAGGAGCCATCTGCAGACTACTCTTTACAAACAGGTTTGTGTGTCAATGGAGGAGCTAGAGAAATTGGCAATTAGAGTTGATGGCTGATGTATCCTGGGACGATATCTGCTGCTCGTACATTAAAAATCCAATCGGGTATTCAATCGGATGATCCAAAAGTAAGTGTGCGCTCGTAACTGTAACACAAGCATCGCTGATAATCCTGAATCATTGCGGTCGAAGCATTAAAAGTATTGGACATCCCTCGTTACTTTTCTACATACAGAAAAACTGACTGCACTGCGGTGTCATAATAATTAAAGATGTATGAAAGTAAAGACCGATTGCTCTTCTGCCATCATGCAGTTTGTGAAATACTGCTTCTCACATGTCGAGCGCGACTGTATATAAATCTACAAAGGTTTCCGCTTTACGATTGCCATGATTGCTTTATTTTGATTACACGTCCTTTGGTTATCTTTCCCTTGTTCCGACGGCGAAACCCGATAATTTACTAAAGCTCGTCGCCAGCAATTGTCTTTTCCATTTTGTCTTCAGTGGCTCAAAAAAAAGAAAAAAAGGAGGAGCATAATAAAAAATAATATATAATGTAGTATTTTATTGTTTTTCCAGTCGGCGCCATGAAAAACACCCAAATTATGCTGTCGGAGATACGTTAGATTTTGCTTTGTTGTCGTTTTATAGTTAGCTTTTCTTTTTATAAATGTAAACTTGCTCAAAAAGGTATTATTATTATTATTATTATTATAAATTTAGCCAGAGAATAAATTCTAAGACTAAAGTCTTAAAGCACTAGTATGTAAGGCTTTAGGCTTAATTAAAAACTCTACCGCACTTGAAATTTGAACCCACGACTATTGAGTTGCTAGTCGAGACTCTTGCTTACTCAGCCGCTCAGGCGGATTGAACTCGAAAAAGTAATTCTTCAGCTTTCGTCTAATTTTGCAGCAATTAGAGAGTGTGTTTGAGAGCTGTCGTAATGTAAAAGATCATCGATCAATAGTGTATGCTATCGCGTGCTCAGATTAAAATTAGTTAAAAAGCAAAGTTAATTTAGTACCGTGAATTAACGCACTAAAAAAGTGAAGAGTTAGTATTATAAATTCTACATAGAAGGCAACGAAACCAATCCTATTAAAGAGTAACGAAAGTATATTTTCTCTTTTTTAAAATAATGGTGGTAAGTACAAAAGATTCAGTCATAGCCGATTGTAATTGCTTGCTTTTAAATTACTATTGTAATATTATATAAACGATATTTGAGTACATAATGTGTACTTCAGTTTCTGTATATAAACAATTTAAACCGAATTGTTTTAAAACATTTGCAGTTAACAATTACCTATAATAAAATAAATAACATTATTAAGGCTGTCGATAACGGTAACGAGCATTTTCAGTTTAAACGGCTTAACGCATGTCTAAAAAGTTTGTACTTTGTTGTTGAGTAGTTAATATTTTACAGATTCCATGCAGGGATATGTGAAACAACCTACCGATTAGTTCATGCCCACTGGGAAGAATTCGATATTTTGTTTTACATATCAACTTTAACAATTTTAAATTTAAAGAATAATTGGCGCATATTAGTAGCAATTAAATATGTTTCGGCTCAAAATAAAAATTGATGTGCAAAGATTTTAAAATTTTGGTCTCAGTGATGTAATTTCCGGCAGTTACATAGTGAATTTGTTTCTTGTTTGCTGTATATAAGCAAGAAAGTGAAAGTCATCTTAGGGTAAATATTGGCGGATACAAGACTTCTAAAATGTGTTGTTAATTACGAAATTGTAAGTCAGGCCATCGCAATCGTTTCTGCTTAGAAATTATAGATGATTTTCCTGTACTTGAAGCTCATTTTACATCAATATCTACACATAATAATAATAATTGTCAGGTCCCTATTTCAGGCGCCTTGTCTACTCGGAAAACACAAAAAAAAAGATAAAAAAATCTCTATGCCAATTTTGGATTGTCGTAAATGCAGTGGGATGCTCTTATCCTTGGGATATGAATACTTTTTATTAAAAGAAATTTATTGAAAATATATTTCAAGTTGTGTACGCAAACTTGGTTTAGAACTAAAAATGTTTATTCTGTCTTTGCAGAGTTCGTGTGGAATATTATGTAAATGAAAATACTTTCAAAGAAAGACTGCAACTTTATTTCATTAAGAATCAGAGATCAAGTAAGTGAAGCTAATTACGTACGGTATTAATCTATGTAAGTAATATAATCAGAATAAAGTAAGGAGAGTAATGCAAATTTTCTAATTACATTGTGAATATTTCAGCAACAGTTAAATAAAAGTTTAGCAATCCATACATTTCAGTTAATTAATTCATTGGATGTATTGACATGCAAAGGGCATGTCACTAGTATTGATGTTAGCAGTGATAATTCTGGTACTGTTCACATCATTCAATGGATGATTGACGTACGTGTTCATTGATTTTTACGAAAATCAAACTTTCCACAGACACTTTCGATCCACGATAATTATAGGGTAAAGAAATAACAGCACTAATCTTCTAAGAAACTTTTTTCCTACGTAAGAATTTCAGAATTATTTTAGTGATTATAACATAAACTTTTAAATCCAATTGTCTTATTTAGGTTAATCTTAAATCCAGAAACATTCAATTATATAAAATTGTAAATCCTAAAATTAGTCCATTACTCCATTATTTTTAATATACGCTTAAGCAAATTTTACTACCTCCTAGACCAAATTCCCATGAATTGTTCCTAAATCAACTTCCTACATTGACTTTGCGACCTTCCTGTATATAATACATCGAAACTGTTACAGGAGCTGATGTGAGTAGTGAAATGGAGCTCCTAATGACATATGTAATGTAAAATTTATTACTCATTCTTATGGACTAACACGAAATTTCATTTTAATACCTGGTCACTTAGCATTGAATTTTTACTTTTTTGATTTTCCCAAAGAGGTCCATGGTAGGGCTGGTTAGAACTTTTCCTTAAAAAATATTTCGATGGAATATTTTTCAACTTTTTCAACTTCTACTTTTTGAATATGTTTTTATAGGAAACAAGAGAGCAATCAATTAAATATATTCACCATCGAAAGACGGGGTGTACTTGGTCAAAAAAGCCTGCACCACTTCCAGACGGTCTCAGAGAAAAAAAGAAAGTTTGGGTTTTTTATTTTTGGGTATTTTACCAATAAAAATTTGTTCCCATATATAACAAACAAATAACTAAAGTTTGCAACATCCAGAAGGAATTTTCAGGAACATTAAGCTAATTTTTTATTCTCCTGAGTTTTATTTTTTTTTTTTAAGATAAAGGTCTTAGGTATAATGCACCCAAGGACGATTTTGATCATTTTGTCAAAACGTTTGCAACACAGAGAAGCAAACATCAGAAACCACGAAAAGTATATTCTTGATCATCACCAAACTCTAAGTCCATTTAAGTCCGTCTGCCCGTTTGTATAATGTCTGTTGTAACCATCCTCATGGCCTTAAAAATAAAGCTACCTTCGAATTTTGTATTGAAAATGGGTAAAATCGATCGTAGGATACGCCCACAGCACCACGTATACTAGGAACACCTCTTTTTTTCAAAGAAAGTGAAAAATTGCTTTTTTTCTCATTATTCATAAACTATAGCAAATAGATGTACAAAAATTTGAACGCATATTCTATGGGCGGTAATGGAGCAGTTGTGCACAAAAATTGAAGAAATTGATCACGCCTATCCAAAATGTAGTAGTCTTTCAATACCTTTATAACGCGCAGTAACTTCAAAATCCTACAAAGTATATCAAGTCTTAGCAAGTTTCAAATTTAGAAAGCACCTAAACATGTCCTCCTGTTCATCTGTCCATTTGCTTGCGTAATTTTGTAGTGTTTGTAGTAAACATTCTCCCGTTAGAGAAAATGCAGATATCGCCTAATAATTTGCAAAAGAATTTGGAATTGAACTAAACTTTTCAAAGGACGCGTCTACGACGCCCACATGCTTATACGATAAAAAGTTTTATTTTGAAAATAGAAGAAATCAACTGCGCCCACTCCATGCTATAGTGCATGATAATTTTGCGTTTTTACTTCTTTTGTCTACTTTTGGGTCATGGGTGATAAAAGATGCGGTCACGACCAAATTCAATTTTCTTACATGTTTTTTGTCGTTGTTGTGTATTTATCCATTTTTTTTTTTTTCTAATGCAGGCTTACGTATTCGTATAGCAGATTTAATCTTTAAACTACTAGCCTGTGTCTTGTACATATTACGAGTGATAACAGATACAAATCCAACATATGCAACTTGGTAAGTCGTAAGAGAAAGTAATTTAACAGTATTTTTCTCTATAGTTTTAAATCTTGAATTTCAACATTATTTCACCCTTTTTATAGCTATAGTTGCATGATTAGCAATAAATCAGAATTTCTAGCCTCAGCCGAGCTTACTGAAGAAGAATTCCAAGAGAATCCCATCATCAACTGGGAAGCGATATTGTGGGTAAATCGGCCAACAGTTCTGTGGGCTGTACAGTTAATTTTAGCACTAGTTTCACTGACGGAAGCAGTTCTTCTAACCTATCTTGGCTATAAGGTAACCAAAAAAACGAACTGTTCACGAGTATCTTCGTAGATATTAATAGCGTACTTTTGCTTGTTTTACTTTTAATGAAAGTGTCTACTATATTATTACATATGATTGTATTACGGTATTTAAATAGTTTTTTACAACTTATGGAACGTTGTCCTTTTTTTATTTTTTGCGCATTCTATACACATACAAAGGGCAACATATGGCAGCAAATACTCTCGTTTCATTTTATATTAGAATTAATTACGACAATACCCTTTGCATTGACGGTGAGTAGAATAACATAATCACGTACGTATGTGTGCATGTAAATAAATAATGATGGAAAACAAAATAAACAATAATTAATTACAAGATGTGAAAGAAAAATGAAATGTGGAGCTTTAAGGCCTTAGGCCTTAGCTTAAGCTCAGCCTTACCGTCCGACACCGCTGACGTCATATTGTTTTAAATATATATATATACTGCTTTTTAAGTTTTGTCATTATATATACGTCTACGTATATATGTATATATATAAAGACATGTGCATACTTGAAGATATATTAATATTAAAACTAATTTGTTCATATACTTGCGAAATTTATTATAATTCCATTCAATTTTGAGGTGACTTTGATCGATATCTAAACCAGAGAAATTCTCAATATTTGGTGTATACATAATATTTTAAATCCATGTAACTCTTTATTCAAATTTTCAAGTGTAAAAATGATGGCAAACATCTGCTCGTATGCAGATCAAGTTTAAAAATAGCCGACAAACATCTAGAATATAAATTTATTTAGGGTAATTTCCATGTTATGCTAACTTCTTTAAACGACTTCATAAAGCTGCCACGATTCCCCAAACTCTATTCAGATAAACGATTTTCTGTACTGTGGTATTATTCTTATTCTTGTGAAAACAAATTAATGAATGCAGTAGAAGAACTTAACTCTTGATCTGAAAAGATTTTTTTGAACTGTCAGTTGGTTTGCTTAGCTTTAAAAAAAAAGCAAGACTGTCAATTATTTCAATGTCGAAATCATACATGAAATTTGGAAAAACAGTTAATAGCTATTTTGGAATGTGTTACAGAATGGGTTATTATTTCTTTCATTCTAGATATTATGGCCGCCTTTAAGAAATTTATTTATACCAATATTTCTCAACTGTTGGTTAGCCAAGCGTTCGCTGGAAAATATGTTCGTAAGTACTTTAAGTTTATTTTATTGAGAAATGAGGGGTGTGTTCATTTTGTGATTTTTGTTTGTAATGCCGAAAGCAAGCTTCCAAGACGCCACGACATATACTGATATTTTATCAGCATCTGCTCAACTATGTCTGTAATAAACATTCTTTCTTTTGCGAAAATGAAGATATCGCTTTCCAAAATAGGTCGACGAACACGCCTGTTCAACAAAACTGAGAATATCATTTTCCGTGTTTTTACTCTTTGCTCAAAAACTATACAGCAAACACAAACTATTATTCTACAAACATAGAAACAACTGACGACGCCCACTCAGTATTACAGGGTACGGAAATTTATTGTTTTCGTTTTTTAAAAATCTTTTTTAGGATAGCGGTGATGAGTCTAAAAGATTTGGTCACAGTCGAATATAAGTTTCTTATTTGTTTTTTATTCGTTTATTTATTAATTTTTGAAATTTAGATACAAAATAAAAATTTATTTTACTTCTTTATTCTTTTTTCCTTGTTGCAGAACGATCTGCATCGCGCCATGCAAAAATCACAATCGGCTCTTTCGCAGCAACTGACAATATTGTCAGCGACCCTGCTATGTCTCGTCTTTACCAGGTAAGAAAAGGGGACCAAAGTCATTTTATTGGGTTGTACGGATAGAATTAAGAATTAGATAGAACGAGAATATTATAGCAATAAAGTTTTTAGCAAACTCTCAATAATGCAATCATAGCAGTGCGAACGTATTTTTCTTTCATTTATTTATTTCTTTGTTATTATATGCTAGTGTTTGTGGGATACAACATTTTCAACGTGCCGGTCATCGTCATTTGAATTTGTTCCAAAGTACATATTACGTGGTCGTCACTTTTTCAACGGTCGGTTACGGCGATTTTGTTCCCGATATATGGCCTTCGCAGTTGTACATGGTCATAATGATATGTGTAGCTCTAATTGTATTGCCCACTCAGGTAAGCTGAATAATCATATGCATAATAAAAGGCATTACCTTACTACACATATGCAATGTTTAGATGAGTGTTTGTATATCTTTTAATAAAATTTTTTCAACAGTTTTCCTCTTTTCTATTGAAGAATATAATGTTGATAAATCTGTGGAAAGAACTTTAATTAAATGCGCTAATTTCTCACACCAAAATAATTCGTTGTTCACTGTTTTAGCACTGTCTTAAACAGTTCCGATATCCACCAATAAGATCGTGTGTGAATATAAAAAGTAAATCTATCAAATTCGACATGAATCGACCGTTTTATACACAATTTGTTATGGAATTTAGTATGAAGCCAAAATTAAAACAGCATGGATAGATGCAAGACTTAATTAAAAAAAGAAATGCAGAAGCAAATAGAATGTTTTTTGAGCCGGTAGCCTGTATTACTAATACTAATGTTTTTTTCCTTAGTGTAAGCATTTAGAGACAGCCTGAGAATCTTCTGTATCATTCATGAAAACTAAATTTTAAGTTTATAAATAGAAGAAAAATAAATTTATAAAAGTAAAAAATTGGCTCCCTGCCTTTATATTTTTCTATTCTATCGATATTCAGCTCCGACAGTCACTGTTCTTGCTCGGGCTGATTACTAATATGGAAGTAAAGTGCTGACTTCGTGGCAGCTTTAAAATTTGTTGTGACTCTCACCATATTTAATTTAGAATTAACGCATTCAATTTTTTGCATCCTGCTTTCCAAGTGTTTTTGTTTGATAACCATATCGCTGATATTATTAAGAAAAAATGAATCGATTAAGTCGCGGTGTCCACGGCAGCAGCTTTATTTGAGGAATGTACAAAATAGTTTGAAACATTCGGTGTTATTTGCCTTATAATAAATAAGAATAAAACCTCAAAAAAGTGAAAAAGAAAAATTTACTCACTTGTAACTTTGCGCACGGTCGATTTTGTTCCATAAATAGTAGAATTTTTGCTAAAGTAAATGTGGAAAATTTCAGACTTCTATCGGTCATTATATGTGAGTAGTGAGAAAAAATCCACCCATTTTTGGTTTGCAAAACGAAGAAGAAGAAGCATTCAACTTACGCTTCACTGCGGGCTTGCGTTTTCACTAATTTGGCCCATTCTCAATAGCAACCTGCGTGCGAAGGCTTTCAATGTTTCTACCAAACTTGAAATCGATATCTTTATTTTTGATACCAGGAGAGTGTCAACAATATACAACGCGCAGACACAAAGCCAGACAGACATGGCTTAATTATTTTAATTATGATAAATTTACTTTTCCGCCCATTTTGAAAATTCACGCCAAAACGGTCTGTGTGTCTGCGTGATGTGTGTTGTTCGCACTCTCATGGTCTCATGGTAAAGATATCGACTTCAAAATTTGTAGAAACACTGGAATTTTGTGCACGTGGAGAATAACAACAAGACAGAATGTTTAAAACTATTTTGTACACGCCTCAAATTAAAATATATTATCTGCCTAAAAATGGGTTCATTTTAAAATGAATATGGTAGACAACTCGACAAATTTTTGCTTAATAATACCAACGATATGGGTATCGAATAAAAAAACTTGGTGAGTAGAATGCGAAAGGGATAGTGGTGGGTATGCGAGATTCGGGCTTTGCCGAATATAATTTCCATACTTGTTATTATTTGCACTTCATGGCTTTGTCTTTCTCTATCTGAGCGCAGGCTCAAACTTATCGATTGAAATCTTCTCAAACGGGGTGTACTAAACCTCCCCTCTATTGCAACAATTTGACATTTCCACTTGGCTTGTTTGATTTTCACATCCTTAACAAATGCACTGGTAGGGTTCCCCCCTGCCGCACAAATTAGGCAATAAATCAGCCTTTACGTTATCTATTAACATTGTATAATGAATCATGTCATTGATCAATATTGATTGGATATTGATCCAATCCAGAAACTTGTCTATCCTATCAAAATTAGGACATCGGGCTACTAACATTTTTAGATTATCTTACTTAATAATCTATAAGTTTATATGCAGTTTGATCCTTGCCTAAATGATGGTAAGTTTATAAATAATTCCATTGGTAACTTATCTTACCAATGTTTACTCGCATTTTTCATTAGCTACACGTTTAGTGGAGAACGATGGTGCTTAAGCTATATTGAAAATAAATTTGTATTCTTGTAGTGTTAGCTTTCGCCACTATAGTTAATACAATTAGCATTAGTTGCCACCTGTCTTCAGGTTTTGCTTACATAAAGTTATACGTTATAAGCTACGACAAAAGCTTCACTATGCTTTCTTTAACGCTAAGAAAAAACGGACGAACAAACTTGAGTCAATTCAGTTAATAGCCGTGTATAATAAAGAGTAGGTCGGTCTTAAGTATTTCTGGGTGTTGCGAACGTCCCGATTACCTTCACTCTTACCAAAAAACAAACATGCTAAAGCAATAATTGGCTTGTACTGGCATTGTTTTAAATTTTATAAATATTTGTTTAACAAATTTCAGTTTGAACAATTGGCCTTTACATGGATGGAACGGCAAAAACTAGGAGGTAGCTATTCATCTCATCGTGCACAAAGCGAAAAACATGTTGTTGTTTGTTCGACGACACTACATGCCGACACCATAATGGATTTTCTAAATGAATTCTACGCACATCCGTTGCTGCAAGATTATTACGTAGTACTCTTAAGTCCAATGGAATTAGATACAACCATGCGAATGATATTGCAAGTACCCATATGGGCACAACGTGTTATTTATATACAGGTAAAAAATTTGCGTAGAATACTTTCGGAAAGAATTTTAATTTATAAGTACATTTGTTTTACAAATGCGTTCCTAATAGACTTTTTGAAACGCTTTGTCTTCCTCATTTTGTTCTTTTTTGCTGCTTAATTCATTCATTTAAAGAATGATCGCAGCGAGAGGAAAACTGAGACACAATCCTTTAACGTGGACGAAATTACCTCCTTAATCTCAAACTACAACAGTGTGATTATTCCTAATTCATGAAAATTAGATAATCCAATTTCATTTCATTTAAGGTCTAATTTTGTCTAATCTTTCATCTCAATCTCTTTCATCTTTTATGAACATAGATGTTTTTAAAAATCTCTCGTCTCCATTTACGAGACGTCTAGAGTAAACTCAAATTCGTTTCAGTCTGAAAAAAAAAAAAAATTAAATATATATATAGGCAAGCATTAAACATTTAAAAACAATTTTAAAGAAGAATGTCATGTTATGATTGTACCAGAGAGGATCAAAATAAGAAGAACGTTTAAAAAGTTTTCAAAATAAAAGCGTGTACATATCTCAGAAACTTGTCTATGTCTATGTTATCTGTAGCGCTATTAACTCGTAGCCATTTGATTGCCTTTAGCTATGAAGAGGACGATGTCTTTTTATATTGGAGTGCCGACTGGCGAGAAAGTATAAGAAACTGTAAGTGACGAGCCAAGAATGGCTCGTCGGCGTGTTAGAGGCAGATTACCAATTAAATGATCAAAACGTCGACGACCACATTTATGCAGAAGGAAACCGCGTTAATATCCATTGCAATGGTTAAGCAAACAATCTATTCGAAACTTTCATGCATAAAAGTTGCAGTGCGGATATGCTATGTCCGCTAAACTCCAGGGATATATGTTGTGAGGAGCTATGACTACGGGAGATAAGGGAACCCCAGTCAGAAACAGACGTTTCTGATTGGGATATGGTAAGTTTGCCAAAAGGCAATCTTGGCGGGAATTGTAAAACAGGTGGGTGCAAATCGTCCCTGTCGAGGGACAGACCTATCCGGTTGAGTAGGGGAGTCAGAATCAGGGGGCTGGCGAAGTGTTTGTGGAATTTGCGCGTCCGTCAGCATGACCGCTACGATTTTTACTTGCACGGATCTGGACAGCATATTCCAGCCGCACAAACAAAAACCGTGAGTTCCGCGTCGTCATTTATGCTTTGGTACGTTATCTACTCGTTAGTTGAAACAGCGCAAATAACTTGAGAGATTGCTTCTTCCGTTAAAATCTGGTTTATGGTTTTGCTCAAAATGTTCAAAATTTGGTGTGTAGATAAGAGTCCACCTCCCCTTTGCGTCGATTTCCCATAGTTTGTGCCCGTGAACATATTCTGCTAAATAACTGCTCCAACTCTGCGGATGTCGGTGCTACCTTCTTCAGTTGCTCCTGTTCCTTTTTCGCATTGTGGGCACATAACTGTTGAAGCTGTGCGGTGAGATAATATAATTCTCAGTCTTTGCGCTGCTTCTAGCAGGAGATGTTTTCTTTGTAGATCCTTTTGTATCCAAAAAGTTTTGGCATATAGGGTTCGCGTAGAGCTTATGCTGGATATAAGCTTTCAGCCGGTCTATTTTGGTCCGTGAAAATGTTTGTCTCGCATTCAATTGCGCTTCGAGGTATTTCAAATTGGGATTGAATTCGATGCTGCCCCTGTCAATCTGTATCTTTGGCACTTCAAACAGCTTTTGTGCGTCACCAGTGTGGCTTCTCTCTTTTGCACACCTAGTTTTAATTTGGATTTATGGAGCCACCTTATCTACTTATTACCTAGCCACTTATTCGGATTAAGCTATGGTCTGCTACACCTATCACTATTAGCAGAGTTAACGCTTGCTGGCGATGCCTTCCGCATGACCTATCAATTTCGCTTCCCTGGGAAACTCTCTGTTGTGGTACCTCTACTGCAATACTATTTTTCCCATTGTCATTGTCCGTGTTATCCACTAGACTTCCATTGTGCAATTAGCTGTCTGTCATTTTAACCAAGTACGAGGAACACCTTCGCTTATTTAAACTTTTTATAATGGTTTCCCAGTCGGCCGTTTTAATATTCACTATGATGACAGCGCAGAATCCTTTGCTTTTGTGAAGGTATCTAACGGCTTACCAGGCTTTTGTAACAAGAACAGGAACAATCTTTTCCAGAGTGTTGGAAAGGTGGCAAGTTGTACGTTTATACAAGTATATCCGGTTGTTTCTTTCCCTGTACGTACTTCTAACAAACCCTGTTGAAATGGTTCGGAACACTTATTTTGAAAAATCGTTAAATGAAAAGATTTTGCATTTTCAGAATTTCGCCAAAGAGATCGCTGAGTAATAATATCTCGGCTTTCTAAATGGTTGTGACAAATTTTCATCAGACGGCACAATTTCTTCAAACACTTGCAATATTATTGTATGGTTCCTATGAAAACTAAGTCCTTATAACTTTAAATGTTTCTTAATAAAAATTGGTTCGCAATACAAATGGACTGCGGGTCTATTTCTTATATTCTACCGTACACAGGGGCTCTGGTGAAAGCCAAGCACTTATATAGCAGCAGAGTCTCAATGGTAGCTCTTTTATGACAGAAACAGCTGAGATTTTGACAAATAAATTATGTCTGCTGAATTTAGATCACATCAGTAGACGTTTTGACCACAAGAGGACTTTTATGAGAAAAATAATGTATAAAAATAATGTATAATGGTTCGTGTAATGTCATGAAAATGAGTAAATGACTATATTGCACAAGAGTATAGAATTTAATTGCTTTGCCCGACTATAATGTTCTTAATTGCCATTTTTTAGGTATAATAAATAATTTATATTTCTTATATCCGCCTGAGTGGCCGAGTAGGCAAGAGTCTCGACTAGCAACTCAATAGTCGTGGGTTCAAACCTCAAGTGCGGTAGAGTTTTTAATAAAAAGCCGATAGCCCTAGATGCTAGTGCTTTAAGACTTTAGTCTTAGAATTTATTCTCTGGCTAAATTTATAATAATAATAATATATTTCTTATATTTCAATTTGTACTGTGTGTAGCTTAAATGTTTTCTTAACGCCGACAAAAGTTCTCACATTTTGGGTTAAAAAAATATTTTACAATTATGATGTATTGTTAGTTTGGGGCACTGGGCGTCAAAAATTGTAATTAAATGTGAAATTTAGACCATGACCATGCTCGCAATAAGAAAAGATTGTATAATACAATAAATATCAGATATTAATCTAACAATAAGTACAAGGCAGTCCGTCCGCAGAAATAATCTAGACTGATAGCCCCTCAATCTCAAGTCCGCTTAACTCTACGGAGCAGCGCGCGAATAGTTTTACACAACAGAGGACGCAAAAAAGAAACCAAAGGCAATAGAAACGGTCGCAGTAACTTTTTAATTTTCATAGTTTCCAAAAAAAAGTTTTTGTTGCTGTTAAACCCCAATTTTTTTATATTATCATTTCTTCCTTTTTACATTTATTTAAGTCTCAGTTAATGTCAGGCCGTGTCGGCCGTGTCAGGTGTGATCACCCTTCGGCGATTAAGTCGAGAAATAAATGTACGCCGACGGTGTTAGACTCCGCACTCGTGTCTTCTTCAATCTGACTTAGCCAACTTGGTTAAATAAATATTCTAAATATTATAGAACTAAATATTATAGATATTCTAAATACTATAGAACTAAATTTTAATAAAATGTAGGAGGTTTTCGATCAAGGAGGTATCTATTTACTACTCAACGAAATAACTCACGAAAAATAAACAACACCAAGCAAATCTTTTATAGTAGCGCTCATAGAAGCTTTGAAAAACGCTTTTTAACGCTTTTTATTTCATTCTGCTTGTCAACCTTATCAGAAATTTTATAGGAAGTACGGGAAAATTTAATGAAAAACTATCCTGATATCGTAATACATTATTTGGACGAGGTAGCTGGTATTGGTAATAGAATTCTTAAAAGCTTAATATGAGAGCATATTAATTTACAGTCTTTAGTTGTAAAAGAAAAAATTTTGCGTAATAGCGTAACAAAAGAAATGGTCTTTGGCCAATAAAAGAATAAATACCAAAAATAGTAAATAAATAAATTTGCTGCCGAAATTCTAAAAATACGAAAATTTGATTAGAATGCGATCTAATCTTAACAAAACAGCGAGAAATTTACTGGAAGTATTTTATTCCGTTTCCGTTTATTACTTTCCGCTTTGCTATGGAAAATAACGCTGTGATAATTTATTAATTGAAATAATTTATTATTATATCTTGGGATTTATGGATAACATAATAAACTTTTGGAGTTTTTATTTTTATTTAAACAGGGTTCTTGTCTTAAAGACGGAGATTTGGCTCGAGCCCGTATGAATGAAGCTGAAGCGTGCTTTATATTGGCCGCCCGAAATTATGCTGATAAGACTGCTGCCGATGAGCACACAATCCTGCGTTCGTGGGCTGTCAAGGATTTTGCACCCAATGTTCCACAATATGTTCAAATATTCCGGTACATACAGTTAGACAATTAACACACTTTTGATATATTTAAAAATAATCTTTGCTTGTGATTTCTTAGGCCTGAACATAAACTGCATGTGAAGTTTGCAGAGCATGTTGTGTGCGAAGATGAATTCAAATACGCATTGTTGGCTAATAATTGCACATGCCCCGGAGCTAGCACTTTGGTAACACTGCTGCTGCATACATCGCGGGGACAGTAAGTGAACAAAGTGTCATAGCGTTTAAGCATTTTTTCATACACACTTTAACAAGATTATGCGTTAAGTTTTTAAAGCCCAAAACCGTGAAATATCTGTTGGAAATGTGTTGCACCTCTCACTTAAACAACTTTTCTCATGAAATTAAACGTTATTTTAATTTAGAATTTACAAAATAAATTAAATTTGAGTATAAAAGTATGTGTGCGTATGGTTCCAAGCGAGAACTTCGTGGCGTTTTTCCTAATGAATAACTTTGGAATCAACACGACGTAGATAATAAAAAAGAAATCATGATGTTCGTTAATTCAATCAAAACTTGGCTTTTGAAAATGAGTCTACGAAAAATTACGAAAAATTACAAGACTTGTGCAAGACTTCAAAACTGAATATTAAAAAAACAACTTCGACCATTTGCACAAGGAAGCATGAAAACGATTTCAACAGTTGGGTAGAAGAAGAATTAGCAGTGTTAAATTTAACAGAATAAATTCTCATCTGCTGACCAATGCTGGAGCGAAAGGGAATGAAAACATTTTTAAATATATATGTTGTATTTATTTATTTATTTAGACATAAAATTTAGTTAATACAAATATACAGCCGAATGAGGTCGACCCTTAAAAATAAATCTCATCTATTTTTTATAAATAACCTTATAGAAAAACAAAAAGGTAATAATAATAAAGGAAAATAAAAACAAAGTTTCTGCAAAAATGAGTAATAGAAAAGCAAAGAAAGCGTATGCATATCCAGTGCAGAGGCGCTCCCCAAACCGGGCGGGTCACATTGCAAGATTATGCCACACGTCTCAACCATTGCAAACAAACGGAAGCTTGGCAACACATTATAGCGTACAAAGTTACAATTCATGCAAGCTAGCAGTTTGTAGAATATATTTCTTGGTACTGAGAAATAATTGCGTTTTCAAAGTACAATACAATACTTTTACATTCTAAATGTACGACATATGACAATACACAAGAGTAGAGAAAACGTTGGAAAACATTTATTGAAATTCATAAAACTTTTGTGAAGCAATACATAACAACCTATGGATGCAACCTATATACATGGCAATTCAAAACGAATAGCTATCTTTTATACCGCGGGACGATTCCAAGCTTGTTACGTAGAAATGCTATGGAAATATGGCATAGAGAAAAAATGTGAACGGCACATGTATTATTTTTATTGTTTCCAACGTTTCTTGGTAATGTTCGAGACATATGTATCATTTTTGTTATTTTTCATCATGAAAATTTCCATTTCTATTCCACACAACCTCCGTGCAAGAACAATAATTGATAGTTCATTTAGTTATATCTACAGTTCAGTCTATAGTTCAGTTAGTTATATCTAAGCTTGGTATGAAGGTTTATCGGTTAACAGTTAGTTTAAATATGACCTAGTTAGAGTTCACATATTGTAGACAGTTCCTTTGATAGGCTTGCAAGAGTCTGATATTGAAGTTAAGTAACAGATAATACTTAGATTTTTGCAAAGATATCAAAAGAAGTCACGAAATAATATTCAATAGTCGTGTGGTCACATTTTTCTCTTTGTGGAAAAATTTTTGCAATTTAATTTCTTTATTGCGTTATACATTTTTAAAAGTTCTCAAACTTATTATAATCTATTGAACTTTCTGTGTGTTTATTGCGAAAAGTGTTCATCGCGGATATCGTACGTGTTTTCCTTTAAATACATTAAAAAAAAAAAAAAAAAAAAAAAAAAATAAAAAACTTTTGACTTTTTATTCAGTAGTTTCCCAAACCTTTTGAAGTGAGTGGTTATTTCACAAATAATAAGCAATAGACAACAATAAGGCATAATGGCCCCGGGGCCGCCAGACAAAAACTCGAATAGATTTCATCTATTAAGTAATACATCCCCCCAAAGAAAAAAAAGTACAAATTCGGATTTTCCGTTGTTGCCAATCACCGATATAACCCCTATTGATAAAAAATATATTGTTATTTCTCCAACCGATGCTCGAATAACAATTTCCCAAATTAGCCCGTTTGCTATAAAAAAAGCTCTAGATAGCATTACAACATACATCGACTCCATCTCGATTCTACGCGATGGGAATTTACTGGTCCTCGCTGGGAACCCGCGCGCAACCGAAAAGCTCATAAAGGCCAAATCTTTAGCTAACCTATGTGCTATTTCAGCTAAAGTACATGAGAAACTTAACTCGGTTCGAGGCGTAATTTACGCCCTTTGCTTAAAGCATGTGGCGGAAGATGAAATTGTTCGCGAAATGGGCAATCAAGGAGTGACTGAAATATATAAATTAACCAAACTGAATGATGACGGAAAAACACGCTCTCCTACAGGAAGAATTATTTTAACTTTTGATCGCTATCGATTACCGCGAACAGTTGATGTGGCGTGGTATAAATGTAAAGTAGAACTATACATCCCAAATCCTATGAGGTGTAAAAATTGCCAACGCCTGGGTCATACGGCAAAAAGATGCACTAATGCTGCATCTTGTGCTAACTGTGGTCATCCTCCACATACTGAAAGCTGCACCCGTAGTTTCTGCATAAATTGCAATGATCAACACTCAGCGTTAGACAAACAATGCCCACGTTTTGTACAGATGCGCGAAATATTAAAAATCAAAACAGAAAATTACTGTAGCATGGGCGAAGCGCGACGCACATACCGGGAAAGAAATCCATCTGTAGCCCATGGAATTGGCAAAAGTAATACCTATGCTGCTGTTGCCTCGCAAATCGAGCCTAATAAGACTTTAAATGCAACTGCTTCCAATGAAAAACCTGTTCCACCATTAACCAAAAATTATATTGCGAAACCAGTTACATCACTTGCCAAAGATAATATTGAAAAAACCAAAGCAACTGCAAATATTGAAAAAATTAAAACAACAACACATATGCTAAAATCTAATATACAAAATTCTCCAGAATCTTCAGCTCTTAACTTTACTCAACAAATCACAAGTGGTAATGAATCCATTCTTTCATCCATTAATCAACCTTCAAAAACCAAAGCAACTGCAAATATTGAAAAAATCAAAACAACGACACATATGCTAAAATCTAATATACAAAATTCTCCAGAATCTCCAGCTATCAACTATACTCAACAAATCACAAGTGGTAATGAACCCATTCTTTCATCCATTAATCAACCTTCAATTTCAAATTATTCACGTGCGCCAACCCGTTGCGCTTCAAATGTACCAAATCACCTAAATACAGATTATTCTGCTGGTAAGAATAAATCATTCACGAAAAATTCCTATAGCGACCTTCTCGACGGAGACGCTGACATGTCAACTTAACCCTCCCTCCACTCTGCTTGCATGTCATTACAATTAAATAAAGTTTTTAAAATTCTACTATGGAACATTAAGGGACTTATTAATAATTTTGATGAACTCCATACATTCATAAGTGATTTTAATCCAACCTTTTTATCGCTTCAAGAAACCCATTGTAGAAGCTCTTTTAATCCTATTCCACCCAAATCATATACTGGATACTTCACGAATGCTGATCAAAATTCATATTCCAAACAAGGAGTAGGTGTTTTTATAAAATCAAGTATACCTCACAAACGCATAAATTTAAGCTCAAATATACAAGCCGTTGCGACACAAATAATGTTAAATATAAAATTTACTGTGCTTTCGCTCTATATTCCACCTTCGCAATCGTTTTCTCAGCAAGAACTCTACAGTTTATTCTCCGTACTTTCCCCCCCATTAATTATATGCGGCGATTTCAACAGCTGGAAAACCATCTGGGGCTCAACAGTGAACAACACTCGCGGTACTGTTTTAGAAAAGGCCTTTTTTCAAAGCAACCTTTGCGTTTTAAATGATGGAAAACCAACGCACCTCTCAACTCATCATACTTTTTCACATATTGATTTAACATGTTGCTCTCCCTCACTTCCTCCTTTGGTTTCCTGATCTACATAAAAGTGATCACTTTCCAATCATAATCGATCTTAAACTTTCAACGTCCTCTGCTACTCCAGCAAAACAGGCCAAATTCCTCCTAGATAAAGCGGATTATATCAATTACTCCAAACAGGTGGAGTCATTTTTGAACTCAAAGCCATTTAACGGAAACTGCAACCATGATGCTGCTATTATGTCTAAAGCGATTCGCACGGCTGCTCATGTTTCTATTCCTCAATCTAACACCTCTTTTAAACGAGCTAGGGTTCCTTGGTGGAACAACACGCTTTCGTTTTTGAGGAAAAATAAAATGGATCTATGGCACTGCTTTAAGAGATGTCCTGATCAAAATCACTTGTTATTATACAAAAAGGCCAATGCTCTATTCAGGAAGGAATTACGGAAATCAAAGGCACTTAGTTTCGAACTTTTCTCGAGACGAATTCACAGAAATATATCAATGAAAGTTGTCTGGAACAAAATCAACAGACTTAAAGGGACTTCAAACCTGAACGAAATTTCTGCCATCTGCACTCCCAATGGAACTTTAACTGACGCAGATGAGATTTCAAATTACTTTGGAAAAGTGTGGTGCGAATACTCCTCTGACAGCAACTTCTCCAGTGCTTTCATTGAAAATAAAAGGACTCCAATATCTCTTTCAAATAATATCCATAGATGTGCCATGTTCCTGGAAAATTGCGTATCTACCTCAGAACTTGGAAGTTGTCTCTCCAATTTGAAGGGGAAGACACCTGGTCTAGACCGCATCTCATATCAAATGATCAGTGCTATGTCTAAATCTAGTAAAAATAAATTACTGGACCTATATAATACGGTATTTATGAGTGGCCATATACTCTACATGTGGAAACTGGCAACAGTTGTTCCAATTCCAAAGTCAAAAAATGTCTCCATCGCATCAGATTATCGCCCAATTTTTTTTTTACCTTGCCTCTCTAAGGTATTAGAGAAGATTATGGCATCTAGATTGTCTTGGTTTCTTGAGTCCAAGAACCTGATAACAAAGCAACAAGTTGGTTTCAAGCGGGGTAGAGGATGCATCGACGCTCTGTTACATATTGATTATTTCACAAGCAAAGCAATTTCCGAACGAAATCACGTAACATTTCTCTCAATTGATTTCGAAAAAGCATTTGACAGAGTTGGTCTTCATGTTATCTTAAGACTCTTGAAATCATGGAATGTTGGACCCAAATTCTTCAACTAAATCAAACCATTCATGTCGCATCGGCGGTTCAAAGTTAGAATGAACAATCATCTTTCTGATTCCTTTCCGCTAATGAATGACATTCCGCAAGGATCTTCTCTCTCTGTCACGCTTTTCCAGATCGCTTTCAACGAAATTAGCAAATTTCTTTGCCGTGTACCAAGAGTGGAACATTGTCTCTACGCGGACGATGTATACATTTTTACAAAAGAAAAAGACAACACGAAAGCAATCAACATCCTCGAATCTATTGCATGTGAGATCTCCACATGGGCAAACTCGTCAGGAGCTATAATCTCTATACAAAAATCAAAAAAATGCACATTTGTCGAAAACAAATGTGCGATGCAGGAAACCTACTGATGCATATTAACGACTTACCATTACTAAATGTGCAGACGCTCCATGTTCTCGGGCTCACGTTTTCAAACAATTATCGTTGGAAAGCACACTGCGTTCGGTTAAAAAACTCCCTTTTAACAAGGGTAAATTTCATACAGTACGTTGCTTGGAGAAGCCATGCGCATATTAACACTATCGCTTATCTTACCAAAATGCTTGTGTTAAGCAAGATTGACTATGCTTTGATAATTTATGGCAATAGTTGCAAATCTAATATCAACATCCTTAAACCGGTCTATCACCAAGCCGTCAGAGCAAGTTGTTATGCTTTTCGGACCACGCCCATAAATAATATTATAATTGAAACTGGTCTCCCAACTTTAGAAAATAGACTGTATTAGTTAAAAGCTAAAATAGTCCCTAAGCTTCTTAATTCAAACTAATCCATTCGGATAATCGGTGATGACGTAAGAAAGATTATTATTTCGAAGAAAATTCCAAAGTCACCATCTGGAATTGACCATTGTTTGTGCATCGCAAAGGAATTGAACATTCCCTTAAAAATTTCCCACTCTTTTGGTGTTAAATCTCCCTGGATTTTGAAAGACTGCTCTTTTGACATCTCACTGTCTATGCACAAGAAAGAAGATACTCCAAATTACGTCTTCGGGAATCTAATAGCTGAGAAAACCCAAGTATTGGACAATACTGGTTGGAATCTTTTGTACACAGACGGCTCAAAATCTCCAGGTCTGCCTCCTGCTTGTGCGGTGGTAGATGCTACAGGATGGGTTCTTCTCAACCACACATTTCACGAAAGCACTTCAACTTTCATAACCGAAGCCAGAGCTATCCTTCACGCTGCCAACCTTGCCCATAAAAACAAACTCGCAACCGTTATTGTTACCGACAGTTTGTCTGTATTACAAGCTGTTCGGAATTTTTCGACTTTGAGATGGAGCACCCTCAACAAATTAAGGAATATAATTACTACGCCCGACGGAAAAATTAAAATGTTATGGGTACCAAGTCACATCGGTTTACTGGGAAATGAGCAGGCTGATCGAGCGGCAAAGTATGCTGCTTCTGCTCCTCTAATTATGGATGATGTCATGGAAAAGTTGGATCTTCAAAGATACATTGGAAGAAAAGTTAAAGAGAAAATTGCAGAAGGAAATTTACAATACCATCATCAACACTACTCTTGCATTAACCCTCAATTAACTCCACCTTTATATCCAACAAACGTTGAGAAAACCAAGATCCAAACATTTTCGAGAATTCGCCTTGGTCATACAATTGCAACTCACCAATGGATCCTGAAGAAGTCTTCTCCCCCAATCTGCTGTTGTGGACAAACTCTTACTATAAAGCACATTCTCTGCGATTGCCTCAACTTTTCCTCGGCTAGAAGTATTGCATTTGGAACGATTAACCCTTTGAACATTCTACAATCAGCTTCAGAACAGAATATCAATTCAATATATTACTTTTTTAATACTACTAAATTCAGTATCTAATATCCATTTATTTAAATTAGAGCCGATAGCCTGTGTTGCTAGTGCTCAATGTCTTTTTTTTAGTCTAAGAATTCATTTCATTAGTCTAAAATTAAAATAATAATAATAATAATAATAGATTTTTGCAAAGGCACCTAAGTGGGTTGAAAAGCTCACAGCTGTGATCACATTGGCTGAGCTTTATGAAAATAAAGTTTCTAGAAGAAAGGTTGGGAACATTGAAGTTTATCGACCTCACTAGTGCCAGCGAGTCAATAGTACCATTTACTAACTTAACTAAGAAGAAAACACCCGAACAAATCTACATTTCTCTAATGAGGCTAAGGCCAGCAAAATAAGGCATTCTATCCACTACAATCAGTATTAAGGAAATTCCAATGAGGAAACGAAGTTTAACAAGTAAGAAAGTTACGTTCGGGGTGCCGAATCTCGCATGACCATCACTATGCTTTTCGCATTCTACTCTGTAAGCTCTTTTGTTTGATATCGCTGGTATTATTAACCAAAAATTAATCGAGTTGTCTACCATATTCATTTTAACTCATTTTTAGGCAGAGTGTACAATATAGGTTTAAACATTCTCTAGCTGTTTGCCGTATGATAAATAAGCGTAAAGCCGCAAAAAAAAATTTAATTACTTGTAACTTTGTGTGGGCATATCCGATTAATTCCATTTTCGAACCTAAAGAGTAGACTGTTTGGTAAAGTAAATGTGGAAAATTTGAGGGTTCTAGCTTTAATAATTTCCGAGTAACAAAAAGCAAAAATCTAAAAATTGTTGTTAAAAAAAATGAGTTGCGTTCAGTTTACACTCCATTGCGCGGTTTTGGTTCGACCAATTTGGCCCATTTTCAAAACCAATCGGCGCGCACCTACTTCCAATGTTTCTACCAAATTTTTAGTCCATATTTTTTTTTTTTTGCGACCAGGAGGGTGCCAAAAACACACACCACAGGCACTCATATGTGCGAATGCTTTCACGTTTAATGAGATTAAATCCGCGCTTTAGAGTGGAGTAGATGGAATAGTCGTGGACAGACCCACTTTCCATGTATTTTTGAAACGTTAGTTTTTCCTATCTTTACAGTATTTCACTGTTTTGTTTAAGTATGACGGGCAAGTGCTTCGACGGGAGGATTGCCCAAACGAAACGGTCGCGAAAATTGAAGGAGAATTTTTATGATTGTTTGTCTTTGGGAATATTTCATTTGATGTATTTTCCGCATTTTTCTCGTTCATTTTGCTTTTCTTCCTGCTTCATTGCTGCCTATAAATGTCCGCTGGCTCCTAGTTTGTATGAAGACTAAGAAGTTATTTTGGCTAGATAAAATCCACTAAAGCAACATTGCTTAATGCGCGTAATTTACCTGTGTCGTACTTAAACTAGCTCTTAACTTTAAAATGTCACGATGAGTTCAAAATGAATTGTTGTTAACTACTATCGGTTGCCAAGCTTATGCATGTTTGCGATGGCTTAGGGGTTCAATCGCAATTTGTTCCTGTATCTTGTGGATCTACGCTAGTTGTGTACATGCTCTTTTTTCTTTTTTTCCTTCTCATTTATTTCACCGTATTTATACTAAGTTTTAATATTAATTAATTTAAGATTTACTTTAAGAGTTGACTGTCGACTGAACTCGACTGTCAAAATATTTAGTTGAGTTTCTTGTACAAGTGGAATAAATAAATAAATAAATAAAGACTCCTAAATGTTATCGTCAATTTTGACTTCAAAGAGTATCTGCTTTTCATCTGATCCATCTTTTCTATGCCAGATAAAGTGATGTTATAGAAACTATCCGTTTCAAGAATGGGCTCACCAGCTTTGTTTGTAGATTTGTGTTTTAAGGTTGGGATCTTGCCGTTATACGTTTTAGAAGTGCAAATGCTTGATTTACATAGCTTTATTGAAAACCGTAGCTTGGAATTCTTCGCAGTAGTTTTTTTTTTAATTATTTTTTAGCTGGTGATACGCTCCATTGTAGTTCTTCTTACGCTTTACATTTCAAAATTTTAAACTTAAAGTTTGATATATTTGAGAAGAGCAAGCAACCGACCATTCCCTGGGAGCGTGCGTTCTCAAATGGATGTTCATAACATATTTAATATGAACAGCAGGCATTAGACGCCAAGGTTGGTCGCGAGAAAGAAATTCTGCCTTCTGCGTTTTGTATGTGTGTTATATATCCTACTTCAGAAGAGGTCTATGGAATTCACTTGGTTTAGTTTTTTGGCTAGAAAGTCCGGTTATATACTAGCGATCGTTTAATCACCCCGGATATACGGTTTACTACTTTGAAATTTAATTATTTCTTGGTTGTTTTTTGCACATTCATACAAAATTTTATAAATATCACATATATCTTTACAGAGAAGGTCAACAATCACCCGAGGAGTGGCATCGTTTATATGGTAAATGCTCAGGCAACGAAATCTATCACATCGTATTGGGCGATAGCCGTTTTTTCGGTGAATATGAGAACAAAAGTTTTACGTATGCGAGCTTTCATTCACATCGAAAGTAAGATTATAAGCGAAAAGGAGCTTTTTCGAAATTCTAACCACTTTATACCTTTAGGTATGGTGTAGCTTTAGTGGGTGTGCGGCCCGCTGAACTACCTGAATTTTATGAAGACACTATCCTTTTAAATCCTGGCCCTCGACATATAATGAAAAAGGACGATACATGTTATTACATGAGCATCACCAAGGAAGAGAACTCTGCCTTTGTTGTTAATCAAAATCAACAACAACAGAATTTGGAAGCAAACACACAGAAGGAAACGAGTAAGCCGCCAAATAAAATGTTGCTTGCATTTGTGAAAACGTTCTTTATATGTTTTTTGGGTTTTCTTTCATTTTTCATTGTGTTGTTTTGTAGGCTTTGCAAATTATCAAAAGCATTTCAGAAAATTTAAAATTGTGTTATGTATGTGTGTGTGCGAAACCGCAACAGAAACTTTCGTGTGGCTAAGAAATATTGTCGTTGGTTTCTGTGTTTTTTTGCTTTTCGTATTTCAAAAAATATTATTATTCATCAACATCGTTTTTGCATGTGGGCGCGCATACTAAATAGACATTGTTCAAAAACTTCTTCAAGTTTTTTTTCATATGAATAAGTTAAACATGCAAAGAAGAAAAACATTTAACATTGATATGTTTCTCTTATAGAAACAGTAGAGACGAAACATTTACTTTAAAAATTACAAGAATTAATTAGAAAACCATTTTTTCACTTAGCACTGATTTATACGTGAATGCATTGGTTCGTCTCTACGCATAGAAACGGTGAGCAGAGATCCCATGAAAAGTTCAAATTTTTGGGCCAGAATCGATTTGTAAACTTTCTACTTCCTCCATCCTTTTTCATTAATTTTTTGCCAATGTAACGTGAACGCTTCAGAAACCACGATGCAACATTAAGACCTGGTCAATATTTCAGTCTATACTCTACCCCAATTGTGGTATACGGCACATTAAGTTAGTGCGGACGTATGCAACACGTAGAAGGGCTTAAAGTAGACCAAACTTGTATTATACCGATTTACTCAGAATCAGAACGTGTTCTTTCTTAAAACTTCTTTTTAAAATCGATTTTGGATTCCAATAATTTGCAAAAAATGTGGACATTTGCACAATTGTACCATTTCCATCATTTAATTAATGATAACCTATTCTCATTGCATAATTGTAAAGCGGGCGTCATATACATAAATATATATGTTTTTATGTTTAGCTTTATTACTTTTGCTCTAGTTTATTTAAATTATATTTAATCGGAAATAAACATGTAGTAAAAGAATTTCCACACCTGTTTCCCTTATTTTAACGCATTTATTTTCCCGATAATAATACATAGTAATCAATTGCATTTAGTTAAAAGCACAACATCAACCAGTATTAACGGCAATAGTGCGGCTACAACAACAACAGCCACAACGACAACAATCATCAACACCTTCAGTAGCATCACCAATACCATCACAAATACTGTCTCCACTAGTTCAACGTATTTGAGTATGAATGTGAATGTATCATCACCCGTCACTCCAGTGTCGTCCGTATGTGCTCGCGTACCCAATAGCCCTAGTTATGAGTCGGGGGGTGCTGAAATGCCCATACTAGACAACCAGCAATATTCCAATTGTGAATTTACAAAACTACACGTGCGTGAGTTTCTAAACACTGGCAAAAAGCAAAAATCAAAGACAATAAAAAAAATCTGGTTACCCAAAAATTCATGTAGAGTAGAAATTTTTTATTCTTCACCTATTCTTGACTACCCTCCTGAATCACTCATTTTTGTGTATTGTGTTCACATTCCTAAAACAAAATCCTTAATTACGATAAAATATGTAGAGAAGTTAACATGGGAAATCACTGTAATGCCTTTAAAACAAACGCTCTTTCGACAATTTTCTTTCGGAAAGGGCGAAAGGTAATGGAGTAATAATAACAAAAATATAGCAGATAAGTAAAGGTATTAAGAAATCACACTATCGAAGCCATTCTTGCGAGGCACAATCACTTTAAGGGCTTTGCATATGCATCATAACTGATGCAAATATGAATTAAAAAAATCTCTTACGCAAAAACCTACAGAATTGGCCGTTCGCCTCGTGATATCTTTTAAAAACATTAATTTTTAAATGATCGGGAAGTGTGTAAATGAATAAGTCTAATTTTTCATCAAAAATTGACAATTTTTTTTTAATAAAAAATGTTTAAATAGACTTTTCCTACAATATGCGCCACAGATGGCTGCTTCAAAGATATTACAAAACTTTCGAATTGGCACCGGTTTCTTTATTATACCGTAATAAATTTATTATTATTTCTTCCACTAGTCTGCAAACTTAAAACTAGGAAAATGGTTTGCTATGTTTAAATATTTTTACTCATTTCATTTTCTCGAAGATCTTTTTCACAAAGGTGCCTCTTTTGATGCGCCTTCAAAACCGAACCAAATGTTTCATACACTACCTGTTACGAAACTACAGAGAAAACGACAAGAAAACCAACATCAAAAACTTCATCTCAAAGTTTTAGCTTCTTAGCAGGTCCGCTAATTTGCTTCGAATCGCTCTCAACGGTCGTCTTAAGCTGACATATTTTGGATATGCTTTTCAATGATCAAAAACGCTCCCTGAAGTTATCTGCCAGCGTATTAGAGAAGTCGGAGATCGACAGGTAAAATATCAGGCTTCGATCGCCTATATACAGTTAACTTAGTCGCTCTTTTTTGAGCGTTTGCAGAAAAGTCTGGAGTGAAAATTTTTTCAGATAGTGATGTTTTTCCGTATTCCGTAAAGGATTCAAATACTTTATTTACACTAAAAATAAAAAAAATTTACAGTGGTTCCCCTCTTTGCATCTTAGTTTGAGTGTGAACAATAAAAAAGCATCTAATATATTTGCTTCACGACCCTGTATTCACTGAACTTAATAAATCACATACACTTGGTACAATCGATAATCAATAAACGCATATGTATGCACATGCCACTCAGTTTCATTTTAAGACTTTGTTTTTTTTGATGTTACGTGATTCAAACTATTTATGAAATATTCATGAAAAAGTTTTCTCTTTTTTATGCATGTTAAGCATGTCCCCTGCGTTTTTTGGTTGAAAAATATGGAATTCTAATACGTTACACCCTTAGAGAAGTTGTTTTATAGACTTTTTTTATACATTTTTTTATACAAAATTAATGAGCAAATGCTTATTAATAAAGTAAACTCGTCGAAGGATTGGTGTTGAATGAATGTTGAACGAGTAAAGTAGAGAAGTCTCTTACCCGTGAAGTCAATAATCTCTTTTTCATTTTTTACTGAAACTATAAAAACTGTTATTAGCCAGGATTAGGCATTTTTACTAATGATACCAAAACATTTTTCGTGGAAGGAAGTCTTATGTTGTTTATAAAAATGACATGAATGTTACAGCTATTACTACTGAAAACACAAGACTTTTCTTTAGTGAAGCTGTTGAAAAAGGACACCAAATCAAAAGTATACATTTTGCGTCAAAGGAAGATAACAATTTACACATAGTAAAACAATCTTGCTAGTGACCGACAATTACGAACGTGGAGCGTCCATCCTCATATCTCAGAGCCTGCTCTCGCTACCACATAACCTTTTCATAATGCATCGTCTATTATAACTTCGCATCAAGATTTAACTAAGAGCGCCTTCCAGTCGACTCTCATTTTTAAATTCAATCCCTAAACCATTTCCTAAAAAAAGGGGGTTACTATTGGAACGTTAGACATGCCGCGTTTCTCTCTTTCATTTAGTTTTTATGTAGAACTTTACAAACTAGGCATAAAAGTTTGTGATTTTCATAAGCTGAACACCAAAAGTGAATCCTTTAGAAAATTCATTGAAATGTTTTTAAACTGTAAACTAAAGTATACCATATCACATTCTGATTTTTTGAAGTTTCACTATCTTTTGCGAGGCATATCCTCATATTGCACTTTATAAACCTATTGAAGTAACAATACTCGCTTTTGTTTTTTCTAAGACGCTTTTGAAAGCAAAAAAAACCAAAAAAACCTTAAATTTCAAATTATAACACAAAATAGGAAACTCTCTCGAAACTTTTCCGGAGATTTACTATGAAGATAAGATTATTCATTCATTCATTCATTTCTCCACTCATTCATTCAATTATTTTTCATTCATTCATTCATTTTTTAAGTTAAAATGTTTGTGTTTCCTGCGCCAAAGCAGCTCATTCTGACTAATTAGACTATTTGGGGAATTACCATAATTACCATAAAAATCTTATGTTTCTCATTCTCCCTCTCTCTTTCTCTCTCTCTCTCTCTCTCTCTCTCTCTCTCTCACTCTCTGTTTCTTTCTCTATCTCTCTCTCTCCCTGTCCTTCTCCTTTTGTGTTAATATCTTTTTTGCAATCCCTATATCAATATTCGTTGCAAAATAAGTTTACGTCTATATCGAGAACTTGTACTCGAAGAACTTATGTTTACACAGGAATTGAATATCAATTGAAACAGAAAAAATTTTAATATTTACATTTGTTCCATTAAGAATGATTCCATGTTTTGAAGCCTCCTGTCATACGGTTATGCCATTTATTGTATGCCTCTTTTTTATAAATAAAATATTATAATTTTTGAATGTTTTTCCCAATTTTTATCATGTTGTAATGAAACAAAAACAACGAGAGTAAGCTAAACTCGTTCATAAAAAATATTACCACGTACAAAAAAAAAAAAAAAAAATTGAAGAGTTAAATCATTAATATAGTTTAAAGATATTATTAAAAATTTATTAAATGAGTCGCTTCGCATGTCCTTTTCTAATAAATTTTACAAAATAAACTTTTTGCTAACTCTTTTCTTCGATCTAACTTATCCGCCACCAGGGGTCAAAGACCTAGTAACTTTGTCCGTTTTGAGTGAGTGTTCGTGTCCGTCTGTAGTGGGGTCTACAAATCTGAAAAATGAAAACAGAGGTCGCAACAAATAGTTCAAAATTTCGAAATATTTTTATATTTAATGACGATATCTTAATCCGAAAGTTTTTAACATAGCCTATGAAGACGTTTTACTTTTTATACAACTGATTCGTACCCCTCTACAGATATGCCATCTGTTTTCAAACATTAATCTTAGGTGGTAGGTATTCAAAATTCGTTGGAAGGCGAATGTGGTTACCTTATCTGCGTTCATCATCACTCTTTCCTTTTGCATTTTCTTAACTTCAGCCACAATTCCTACAACAGCTAATGACAACCCAACATCTGTGATAAACTCAGAGTCCAAACAAAATTTTAAGGATACAACTGTAACATCGACTGACGCAACGTACACATCTGCTGCTACAACAACAACAGGGACTATAATCCCTATTAATGCATCACTCGCAATGAATCTGTGTGCAACTTCAGGGCCCAGCTTTCATAGCGGCTTGGGTAATACTCTCGGTATTGGAATGGTCACTAGCACAACAACAAGCAATCATTTAGATGTACCACAAGCGGGTAATCCAAATTTATTGAGTCCTGACATTTTGAATCAGAGAAGAGGTAAGTTTTCATAATTTTACCCTAGAATTTCTTTTCATAAGCACTAGATGTAAAATTAACTGAAAAAAATTATTGTTAGGAAGAAAAAGTATACATTAAAAAACATCTTTATTTAGAAAATTTTAGCCTCAACTAATAAAAAGTTTTAGAGTATAGATTCATAGTTTACATCGGTCATCATTCCGAAAAGTCAACAATTCGGTCCCAGCTAAAAATTCGATTATGAAAGAGATTTTCTACTCTATAATATGCTCTCGGTGACGGTTGATCTTCCTGTAGGAAACTTTCTTTTAGCTATGATTAACTTGTGCTGAATAAGATTCTTCGGAAGAATTTACTTAACTGTATGATTCAAAGTTTTTTATACTTTTCATATAAAAATAAATATAAACTTTATACATTTAGATAAACATTTTTTTTAGACTTTCACATTCAATCTACACACCATATATAAACTCATACTACACCATGTATACCTAATAAAAGCTCTAATTGCATATTCGAATGCTCAGGGGGAAATTTATTTTGCATTTGCTTTACAAACCAGGTAGTCGCCGACCATCCATTTTGCCCGTACCGGATATGTTTACGTCATCATCGTTTAGTATAACGGGGAACGAGGATGGTGATGAAGGAGACGAAAGTGATGATGAAGTAGAAGATGACGTGCCATGGCGATCACCCTCCGAAAAAATTGCGTAAGTAAAAGTATAAAGGAGTCTCATGTTTTGATCTTTGAAAGTAAAATAAAATAAATTTAGAAATTCTCCAGGAAGATCTCTCTTAAATAAGTACCACCACCACTACCATTACTTTTACCTAGAAATATTTAGTTGTTTCTTTCCTAAACCTCCATTATAATATAATCTAATTTTTGTTGTTCTTGTACAAATTGGAGAAACAATCGTCGTAAAAGAGAATTTTACTATAATCACTCCAATTCCTCAAAAGTTTATGTTGATGTGTTATGTAGACAATATTTATGCGCTCAATAATAATAAAGCATTAGAGCTTTTGGATTTACCTGTTGATAGACTTTTATGCTCTTGTAGGCACAATCCAAAACTAGCGGCCGGGGGACGGGGGGCCGGGGGGTTTAGAGTTTGTTATTTTAAAGTTAAGCTTATCAGCAAAATTCAATTTTAATCAACCATAAAACAAAAATAAATCTCTTCTATAAATGAAATCAACCCCACACAAATCACAGTTGTCTCGGTGGCCATTTTCCGCAATCACGTACCTATTCACTGATTGTGAGCTCATCAGAAGATTCTAACTTGCGTGACTGCTTTTGCAACAGTAGCACTTGCCGCAATAGTGGTTCACCTACAACGCATATTTTTAGTCGCCATATGCAAAAAATGAAAAAAAGTTATAGCTGCGACAGCGACTGCGGCCGTCGATCGGCAATTTATGAGAGGGGCTATCGAATTACGGCCATACCACAAATGCAGGCAAACGCTATGATCCCTACAACAACAGGTGCCGTTGTAATATTGAACGGTGGTCAACAACAATTATATGATACTTGTTGTTCCTGTTCAACCACCAGCTCTGTGGTACCGGCATCAACAGCGACTGCAGCCACTTTCACTACTGTCAGCCATCATCAAAGAATGACGGCCCAAGCCACCTTAAGCAGTTCAGGTTCAATGCAAGCCACACGTCCCATATGGGCGGCCGACTACAGCGGGTAAGTTTGACGCCAACTTTTACGTTGCTCGTATCAACCAAGAGCTGCAAATGCGTAAGCTAATAGTTCTGTACAACCTAAATTATGTGCGTCTGTGTGACAGTCCATTTCATGAGATTCTTTTCTATTATTACTTTGAAATAACATGCACATAACATTTTTTACATGGGTTGCGTTCTATAAACCAACTCTCCACTTTGTATAGCACACGTAAAAGTTGGTCGTTTGTAATATTCAATTTGCTTAACGTTCAATTGTGTTCGAGTTGTGTTTGAATTGCATTGCATTGAGTTGAGTTGAATTGAATTTGTAAAATATTAAAACTCTTCCGATGTCTCCTTGAAACTTTGCTGGAATGTAAAATGAGGCTGCTGCCAGCTTTAAAAACTGTTATAATTACTTCTCCTATAGCATCTACAAGAAAACAAACACTTCTTCTACTCCATGTTGCTCGTACGTCATTCTTAGAATTGGTTGAACTTATTAAAGTAGAGAATTACTGTTTTTCTCTTTGTGCTCCAGTTTATGTATTTTATCCAATTTTATTAGGTTTGTTGATTAGTTATCGAATTTGAACAATTTATTAATTTCAATTATTGATTTAAATTGGTTTGCTTTCTCATCATAGTTCTTTTTAGCATATTTCGCTTAATTATGTTTGCGTTGTTGCGTATTTATTTACTATTGCGGTGTTTTGTTATTTATAACAAGAATGCCATATAATTTCACTTTTTTACGCATATAAATGTTTTCAAAGAAATTTTCACCAATCTCATTTCTACGCCTCCTACTTATAACGTTCATAAATAACACAAATGGTATTATGTCAGCTTAAGCTGAATGTGTTTTCATCACCCAGTTGATTGTTTTTCTTCTTTTTTAACAAAAGTCGTGTTACTAAAAAATGAAAACAGTGCCGACGGAAGTGTTCTATTGTATAATCGGTTTTAATAGTCGCTGCACGGCTTGTACATCAATACTCTCCCATATACAAACCAATGATCGAATATAAGATTCCCAACGCATGTTTAAAGTGGTACGGGGCCTATTGTACGCATACGGACAGAGTGCAAAATTAAATACTAAAGACATTGTTACAAAATTGGCAAAATGTTAAGGATTTTTACTATTGTTCAAGCTTAGGACGAGGAAAATAAAAGCCTGAATTGAATATCACGACTAATAGTCGTCACAATATTTTAAGGTGTTAAAAGTAACTTCAACAGTAGAGAAAGTAACACATTGATTAAATCTACATATTTATCCAATAATTTCACACATATGCCTATGGCGTGGCCTTGCGTAATCCCGGGCATATCTATGGACGAGCTTAAACAAATTTTATATATCGTAACGAGCAGGTATAACTATAAGAATTTATTTGTACATTTTATGGTTGATCCCATCGTATCTACACAAAAAGAAAAAACTCCGCCCAGACCCAATATCATAGCGTATCGAAATTTCATTTTCTTTTGTTTTTTTGTAAGAAATTATCCTCAGTGTAAGCGGGTTGTAAAGACACACACACACACACACACAGTTGAATATAATTTTAATATTTCAATTATAATAAAAAGAATTTGACGTTAGGTTTCGTCGCTGTGAAAATGGGTTTGTTTTTTTACTAATAGGGTTTGCTCTTCCGTTCTGATAACTGACGAAAATAAACGCTAATAAAATTAAGTTCTCTTTTAAGCCTTCACCTTGCCATGCTTTCAGAAGTATTTCGTGTACTTATTAACGCTCTTTCATAATTTTCTCTTTCTTTTTGTACATAAGAAAATTGTCCATTTTTTAATACTTTATTCCACTTCACTGTTATTTATTTATTTCATATTGTATCCGTATTCACAAACATGGCAAAAATTTAACAAATGAGAACAAAAAAAAAAAAGAAAACACAAATCAAAAATATATTGAATAAGACATAATTATAAATATTTGTATAAATATTTACAGAGTATTATAAAAGAAAAATTTTTCGAGCTATTTAAGTAAGCATTGCGTTTTACGTTTACGTTTTTTTATAGTATCGTTAAAGGATTTCCGCCGGTCTCACCATTTATTGGTGTTAGTCCTACGCTATGTTATTTGCTTAAGGAGAAGAAACCATTATGTTGTTTACAATTGGCACAGGTACGATACGATATGTGCAACTGTAATATTACGCTTTTTTATTCTATTTTCTTTTCTTATAATTATTATTTTACGGTAAATCTGTAAATAAATTGATGTGGATGCATACGTTAATATTCATTCTTATATACGCCTCCATAATGAATGGCTTCGTCAAAATGCGATTTATTAAAAAAAAGGTATGCGAACATTGTAGTTACCGGAATGCGAAAGAGTATCAATGGCAGAATAAAACCATCATTTTGGCTGCCGATTATGCTTCGAATGGAATTTACAATTTCATTATTCCGTTAAGAGCACATTTTCGATCGAAAACCTCGTTAAATCCTATCATATTGTTATTAGAACGACGACCGGATGTAGCATTCTTAGATGCCCTCTCTTATTTTCCATTGGTAACGTTGTCCCGCAAACTTTAAAGATTGTTATTTCACTTGTAATCATAATTTTCTGTATTTTTTTTTAAATTTCCTTTTCTTTCCTTGATTATAGGTCTATTGGATGTTGGGTTCTATAGACTGTTTAGATGATTTATTAAGGGCAGGCATTACACTGGCTGAAAGTGTGGTGGTTGTTAACAAAGAATTATCAAATTCAGCCGAAGAGGATTCTCTGGCCGATTGTAATACGATCGTAGCGGTGCAAACCATGTTCAAGTAAGAAGAACCATGCAAAATATTTAAACATAGAGATGACATGTAACATATATTATACTTCGGAAATTGGGTTTTAAACTGATTAGTAGATAATATAAGTATACAGAGAAATAATAAACTAAATTAATGCATTTTGGTGTAGAATTTTTTTTCTATCGGACGCAGACAAAAATAATGCTGATGGTTTTCTAATATGTGCACGTGCCACATGGATATGCTGTTCATGTGAACAACATGAGTTTTCGAGATTTAATCCGCACATTCACTATCCATTTCACCGACAATAATACAATCACGCGACTTTTAATCTACTCTATTATTGTATTGAGATTCCATTCAATTAAAAGTGGGCATGTTTCTTCAGGAGAACGTTTGCATTCCATCCTCTTAAGGTTGTGAAACCTAGCACCAGCTGCGCTCGTTAAGATTGTCTAGCGCCAACTGTTTTTGGTATTGATTTCTAATTTCATACGCGTTTCTTCATCACATTGGTTTGTTCTTTTTTGTTTGTGTACTTTCTTCTTTATTGGGTATGTGTTCTTCCCTCGCACAGCGTCGAATATTTATATTTGGTAAACCAATGTATTCACGGCATTTTTCTGTTTTCACAAATTAACACAAAACACACATTATCTTGTTTTTTTTTTAACTTGTCTGCCAGTGAGCCAGTGCACGTATAAAAATGAAAATGATTACTTTGTAATATTATTAAACTATTTACAGACATAAATTAAATGTTATCTGTAAATTTGGTTACAATCGGTCATTGGACCGTTAATATAGAAGTTAGCCTACAGCGGCATCTGCTGAAATTTGGTAGCATTGCGCAACTTTCTTGCATGTAAATTTGATATTGGATATTTGTAAGAAATTCCTTGAAGCACACCCAGATAATGCCGATTAGTTACCAAGTCAATCGCTTGAAAAATGTGTCTTAGTTGAAAATATTCCCCTCACTTCACTTGAATCAGAAATTTTAGGTTGTTTTGCGCACTTAGCAAATTGGAGAATAGACACATTTTGCATATAACTTAAGGAGTAGTGTTCAAGTTAGCTAATTGCAGCTTTATAAATATTGCAATAAAAGCATTTTATTTAGACGCAATCTTACGTATATAGTGCACATTATAAGTGGCAGAAAATATATATTTTTTAGCTAAATTGAAGATTCTATGAGTCTATTTTGCTCCGTCGGTTTTTCGTTTGCCTTTGGAACGTGAAAATTCGTAAAAGCTCAGATAGGCAGTCAAAGTTTTTTTCCCACATATGATTTCAATTAATGGCCACAAATCAAGCTGGAAAAGGTCGGCCCAACCAAATGATAAGCAAATAACTTCAACGGTATATATTGAATTAAAAATTAATATCAGTGTTTTCTACATACAAATTTTAAATATTGGACTGCGATGGTTCATTTTATCGCTTCTTAACTATCTTTTGTGATGTTGTTTGCAGGTTCTTTCCCAGTATTAAGAGCATAACCGAATTATCGCAGAGTTCAAATATGCGTTTCATGCAATTTCGTGCTCATGACAAATATGCATTACATCTAAGCAAAATGGAAAAGGTAAGAGTTGAGCTATGTTTCAACGTTTTTTCAATTTTTCCTGTCTACATTCAATGAATTTTATACTCATCACCGAAAGATGAGGGTCTTCTGAGGACAAACGAAGTACAAATTTTTTCGATCAGCATGAGATTTCAAATCCATTTAAGCATGTCCGTCAACTTCAAATTTGGTAGAGCCATTGGAAGTTCTTGCAAGGAGGTTGGTATATAACGGGGCCAAAATGGTCGAAAGACATGCTTACGGTAGCACGTAAATTGAAAACAACTCTACTTTCCAAGGGGAAGACAAAACTGAGTTTTCTCTCGTTATTACATACTACAGCAGATAACAGTTGCAATGCGCCTCATCATGTCCGTCTTTACGTCTCTCCATCTCCCCATCTGTGTAGTGTCTGTGGTATTCTCCCGGTAGCAAAAATGAAGATATCGGCTAGGAATTTGAAAAAAAATTTTAGGAGAATCCCTACTGGCCAAAGTATGCGCCTACAAAGCCCACATGCCTGTGAACACCTTTGCTTTACCGTTCTTTTTTTTGATAAAGTACAATACGCAAAAACTTTCAACTGTTTTTCGCCCATCTAATATAACACAGTATGAAAATGTAGTTATTTTCCCTGTTTTAAGTCTTTTTTAGGATAATGATGATGGGTGTAAAGGATTCGGTGATGACCGAATATAATTTTCTTATTTGTTTATTTTAAACGTAATTTTTTTTCTTAGCGTGAAAAGGAACGAGGATCACATATATCCTATATGTTTCGTTTGCCATTTGCGGCCGGTGCCGTATTTAGTGCCTCCATGTTAGATACGTTATTGTATCAGGCATTTGTTAAGGATTACGTTATAACTTTTGTACGTTTACTCTTAGGAATTGATCAAGCTCCAGGTAGCGGTTTTTTAACATCGGTTAGTGTATTAATAAAAAAAACTACTATGTTTTGTAAAAACCGACTTTGAAAAACGCTTCTTTCACATAGATGCGCATCACCAAAGATGATATGTGGATACGCACTTACGGACGCTTGTACCAGAAATTATGTTCGACCACTTGTGAAATTCCGATCGGTATTTATCGTACTCAGGACACTTCGAACACGGAGGCAACACATGTGAGTAACACACCTGAAGAGAAATGGGGACCATTTTTCGCTTTCGGAAAGCACTGTGTGCGCTTGCGACCATCGGTGAGTCCAGGTTAAAAGCTACAAAACACTACATAAACAAACTGAACGAAAAAGCACACAATCAAGTATACATTTAAGGATCGACATAAAACACATAAAATTAAAATTTACCGTTTAGATGATTATTAATGACCGAAAATATAGGTTTAAATTAAAGACAATTAGTACAATTTATATATTTAGTTAATTTTACTATTTATCTAATAGATAGCTTTACCTAAAGTAGGTTCACATTAGCTATGAAACCAGTGCAATATTCAAAAGTCCACATCCGTTAGAGTTGAAAATCCCATTGAAAAGGTTGTTTATAAAAACTAAACCTTTCTAATTTGAACATTTTTACTTTTAAACTAAGAATTTTACAAAGGGAAGAATATTGAAATTTTGGCAAAAACGGTTTATTTATTCTTCTAACGTCTATGATGCATTTTTCGTACCAAAAAAAGAAACGATAATGCGTGTGTAACCACGAAAGTTGACGTAGTTTTACAACGTCGAGTACTTCGTACAAAGCGTTTAGTTCTTGGATTCAGTAATCTAAACTACTCCTTGACCCTTCGAATAACGCAATTAGTAACCAGAAAGGAATTCTGGGTCTGAAAGTAGTTTGGTTTGCACTTTTGTTTTTGTATAGTAAAACACTTGCACTTAAACACGTCTTAGAATTGATATTTTACACTCGGTAATTTTTGTTTATGTGATTTGATTTCGAATTAATTTTTTATAGCTTCTCTTTTCTGGATTGTTCAGTAATTGCAATAAGCAAAAAAGCCTTCATAAGCTTTGATCTCTTTCTCTGCCCTTTTATTATTTCTTTAATAATTTGTATTTTCAAATAAATTTTGCTTCAGCAGAAAAAGTAACAAGTAAAAGAATTAGAAAGTATTATACGCTAGAATTTTTATACAATTTCATTCATAAAATCTTTTGTCTCCTTATTATTATGTGAACCATATTTTACAAAAAGACTGCAACTACAATAATATTAAATACTTAAGGCACTTTTATGAAAGACTTGTTTAGTTAAAAAGTTACAAAAAAAATCTATAAAATCTTTAAATGTTTTTGCATAATTCGATTTGTCAGCTTAATTATGCAACGAAAGAGAGTAGTGGTTAATAGACTAATCTTTCGACTAACATTGAGATTTGCGTCTCGTGTTTGAAGCAAACCTACCAAAGCGATTCTTGACCTGAAATACACCCTTATTTTGCAATACTCAAAGTTTAGTTTCTAAAATATCCTCTTTTTTTTGTTTTGGGAAGAAAATTGTTGATTTATGTTTATTTTAACCCGACAAGTATTCAATTAAAGCTTTTGAAATTGCCCTCGTGCCCTCGTCAATTGCAACAGCGACATTTTGGGTAAATTGAAAGCTAGAAGCCGAAAGTATAGAATTCATGAAACTAAATTACGATATAGGTCTCCCCTACTAGAAACCTAACGGAAATATTACGATTATTGTCAAACGTATATAAGATGCAAAAAGAAGAAGCAAGCTTTCTCACAAGGGACTGATAAGTTGGAAAGAAGCTTTCAAATATTCGACTGAAAATTCCATATTATTACTGCATTTTCTGTTTAAAAACGGCACACGATTCTTCTTTGAATTTATTCAAGTCAATTTCCCCCACCTTAATAGTTGCTACCACTTGCTGCGACACCACTGTAACTTTACGGAGGGCTTTATACACACATAAAACTCACGCATAAAAACATAGCCAAGAACCATCTATCGGAAATCACCAAACTATTTATTAATATTACACATATATAGATAATAAGTAAGGAAGTAAGATGAACTGAAAATAAAATATGTATTGGACTTTAACTGATAATTACGCACACGCACGCAGTGAGTCTTTCTTTTAACTTTCGTCGCCCGTTTTTCCCCTATCCTTTTTTACTGTTTGTCATAGAAAAATGTTGTAACGTTCTTTTATTGTATGCATATTATGTGGGTTTTCATGCACTCTTGTACTTCCTTTTATTGGCTACGTTAGCCAGCAACATATCGAGCAGTACGTTTACTTCATCGACCGTATTCCATGTTTATTCTATATCAGAAAAACTGACGTGGTGCACTTAGACCATGATATCTCGATACGTTTTCAATATACATAATATATACTTTGGAGCAATTATTTTAAAAAAAGGACCAAATACCTAAAAAACAAATTAAAAGTTCACGTTCATGAAATAAAAAACATATGTTCTACAGATTACACGACTGTATGGAAACCCGTAGTATAAAGTTCTTATGAATGCATGTTTAGCAAATGTTACCGCGTTCTATACTATGTAGCTAATTAAATATAAATTATTTACAAATACATACTTATTTCATAAAATAAAATAAAAGTTAAAATAAAATAACGAAGCATGGGTATTAGAGGAATACGTTGAAAATATTTGTTTAGATCTTGATCAACTAACTTTTTATTGAACTTACTAAAAATTGGACCACTTTTCAAATAAGGACTTACTTTTCCTAATACTAGTTGTATCTAGCAAGTGCAAAAATTGAGGTACGTGTTAAAAATTCAGTCCAGCTAATTTTTGTATCGAATTAATATTATTGATCAATTTTCATTATAAAATATTAAAACTTTTCTGCCTTAAAAAACAAAAATTTCTTGCAAATTCTTATACCAGGGTCGGATCCAAAATATTGGCGGAGTTGGTCCAAATTTGGTGCAGTTAATTTTTTTTATTTTAAATTAATGTTATCATTTGATGTTCATCATGAAGCATTGAGAATTGGGAGGTTCCAAAATTTATCACAGCTGATCCAAAGCTTTCAAACCACTACTTAGTGACTTTTGTCGGGAAATTTTAAAAAGTGAAATTGAAATTTTAAAAATTGAGTGGTCGAAAAAGTGGACCGATCCGAACCATTTTGATAGCGTTTACTCTTTAAATCAGTTCAAAGCTCAGACCACGCCAGTGTAGCAAATTTCATTAAAATATCTCAAAAATTGAGACTTGTAGCTTGAAGACGAATTTACATGGAATGACATCAGATTGGCAAACGGACAGATAGGCTTAGAAGCACTTTCTGAACTAATCGATGTAATAAAAATAAATCGAAACTGCAAATAACATAAAAGCTTGGAAAATTTGCAGAACACAGCAGTTCGGAAAAATCCTTATATATAAAATATATGGCATTTTTGATATGCCTATTTTTGCATACTTAACGAACGCGAAAATTTGAATTGAATTACACTTTTTTTTAAAACCTTGCAACCGTCTTACGAAACGTAAACGTCTATCTTGTGAAAATGTCTTACTTTTAACATTTTATGATAAAAATTGATACACAATAGTGACTCGACATACAAATTGATTGCAGTAAATTTGAACTAGATTGACAAAATTTCTTGAGGAGCCAGGAAAAGTGCTGTAGAATATTCAATATTAAATCTTGTCAGATTATAGCGTTTCAGTTTGTTAATAGGTAGTGCTGCCTAGCCACAAAAGTAGTTTGTATGCTTGCTTTGGTTACTACTTCTTCGATAGAATCAATATTATATCGCTTTTCAGCAAAGCCAATATTTGAATATTTTTTAGTGTTTTTAGTGTTTTCCACTTCTTTTCGAAGTCTCTTTAACTGCAGCCTTTAAAAGTTTATGCAAATTGCTCAACAGCTGGACGAGCTGTCTAAGAACCTATTGCTCAACATCTACCATCATATTTGCAGAAAGTACAAATGCATCTAACGTTAACGTATGGACCAACGTCATTGATAACTTATATTATGAGACACATATAGAAATTTTGAATATCGTATACATAGCTTCAGCACGCTCGGTAAATTTGAAAATGTCGTTTCGACAGTATAGTCTATAAAGCAATTTTCTCAGGGAAAATCGAAAATTTTATGGTCAAATTTAAAACTATATGAGTATCCCCTACGCTGTTCGCTAAATCAGTTCGCATCGGTTCATATTGGTTAACTATGATCGTGAAGGCAGATACGCTATTAATTGAATTCGAAAGTTTATGAGTTAGTCATAAAGCGAAAAGCAAAGAAGAGCGGTCGGAGGGAGTCAACCAGACACTTGAACATTGGTGCCGCAATGGCAGCAACAACGACATTGTTGTCCATTGAGAAATGGAAGTAGCCAATAATTCCAAATTTTGCGGCAGACTTAGAGAAAACACACAATATAGTGAATTTTCCTAACGCGAGCTGTTTACATTCATGGCAATTTCTCAAGCTGGCTCTTACGTGCATGCAGAATTTTTGTTCAAGAATATTAGATAAGGCAGAGCAAATTTTCACATATCCTCTATAGGCAAAAGTTCAGAATAAATCCATACAGAAATCCAGAAATACCTTTTGGAAAGATATTAGGCAATGTGGAAGGAATAGCTTGATTATCTAGCTAGAGAGACCAAATCCAAACGCCTAATCGCAAGTTATATTAAAAGGTTACTTTCAAGATAAACCTCGTATTATCTCTGGTCGACAGCGATTGCTCCATTGATTTCTATTTCTATCTATTTTATAATATGATTTGTTTTATTCTGTTGTAAACCTGTGTTGGCGGCATTAATAGCTGAGTTCTAAATATTCAAATGCTCTTGTAGAAAGTGCATTTTCCTTACAATGAAAGGTAGCAAGTATCTAGTGAAAGTCCGTTTGCAATGAGTTTGACGGACTTAATTGCTTTTACGTAAACGTAACTGCATATTTACGAAAGCTTCTGAATTATTGCCGTTTACACATACAAACGTTAACGCCTATATATGCACATAAATCCATGCATACATCCATACATCCATATAAACTTTCATACATACATATATTTGATATTTGTAATACGAATACATTTATTATCAATTAATAAGGAAGGCTGCAGGCATCTGACTCTTCAGCTTTAGTTTCTGCAGGGCTTTGTTTACGAGCGAATTAAATATTTACGTTATTAAATGATTTTAAAACATGCTTTGATTGGAAATATTTTTCTTGACATTTTATTTATTTGTTTTATGTTGTTATTGTATCTAATAAAAGCAACTTTTATTCATCTGTATACTTATGCTTCTAATGCATTAACAAAAAGTTGATGTGTTTAGTTTAAGCAGTTATTTAAGTATTGAATGTGCTAGTTTGTGCATGTGGCTTTGTTACCATTCAGGTATTCGTTTAATTAAACATTGAAATCCATAAGACAACAAATATTTTATGTCTATTAACTTTACACTTTGCTCATTCAATAATATGATATAATAAAGTATGAGGAAGATACAGCTATAACACCCGATTCAACGAAAGGTAGCAACGAAGTGTTACGAAGTGTTACATATCGTCCACCGGCAATGAGTGGCCCCATTTCCCAACAAACTAGCAGCCACCCAACACACCATCATAATAAATCAACGACATGCTTGGGTGGCTGCACTGAACGTAAGGAATCATCTGTAAGTACAATTTTATTTAAAAAATACTAAAAAAGTTTCATAGTTAACTTTTTGGTACTCACCATCCTGAAAATAATGGTGGGAATATTTTGTTCATTTCGCTTTTTCGCCGATGTTTTAGATGACTCTAGGAAGTGCGAGTAACGTCATAGTGAAATTTTAAAGGGGTTTTGGCTTAGCAAATTTATACTCCAAGTTTTAAACTAGCAACTGCTATTAATTGTAATTTACAAGACTTTGCTTAAGATAAACACGACTTTCGTTTTGGGTACTGTGCCCAATTATGTACTCGATCTGTAGTTTATTTATCGGGATTCAACTTTCTATCTCAATGGCTTAATCTGCAATATTTTAATGGCAGACGATAGATACCTAGGCGGTAGATCAGGCGAACAGACGTGACTAAAACGATAAAGAAGTCTCATTAAGCGTTTCATGGGACGGGAGGATGAATCCAACATATCTCCATATCTTGAAGTTACGCCTCGCACCCTTTTGCATGCACCAAGTACTTTAGAGTCTCTCAAAAAGAGTGTTACTTTATATAAGTTATCCAATAGATCTATGCCTTTACGAATTGCATATCAGGTTATCACGTTTTGCTGAAAATAAAGTTCTAAATATGGACTATATTTATGAGAAATTCAATATATAACATATTATATAAATATAATCTATTATATAAACAAAATCAGATCATTGGGTATTTTTACGAGAAGCTCATAAACAGTTACAAGTTTTTACATCTGTCGAAAAAGCATTAAATACTTACCCTACGTTTATTCTTGGCAATATTCGAATTAGCTGTACTGGTTTCTATCCTTTATTTATTTAATTAGATTTATGTTTAGAGTTTATGAAAACTAGTCTTAAATCAAGCAAACATTTATGGAGCCAAGCAACAACTAATTCCTGTGTTGGAGTCTTTTCTCAATAGTTATCAACAAACTTCAACGACAATAAGTTAGCGAATTCATGAATGTAGTAAACGCCAAAGAAGAAAAACAACTAAGAACGCTCTTGTCGTGCAATTAGACTATTGGCTACTCTGCTTTACTTCACTGAAAATTATCCATTATTTATATGCAAATATGAAATTTTAATGGAAGCCCCCGTATTGGGAGATCCTCAAACGTCAACGTGGTTTGAAAATAGCAAAGTTAATTTACTTGTTAAGGATTTTGTTACCTTCAGTTGCAAACTCTCATAGCAAACCACAAATTACGCTTTGTCGCTGTAAAAGAGTTTGCTTCCTTAAGAGTCTTTATTCCTTGTGCGATCTAAAAAATAGGTTTACCTAATCTAAATTCCTACGAGGAATCCCGAGCAACTTTATTGCGTACCTTTAAAACAGCTAACTCGTCCAAAAGGTTATCCTTGTTTTCATTTTTTCTTGCTTTCCTTTCGAACTTTTCTAGGGTTACTAGTTTATAAAATGTGAAAATTTCAGTTTTCTAATATGTTATTTATTTCCAGTAACTATAATATAATAAAATTAAAAAATACATAAATAAAATAACTATATTAGGCAAAGATAAGCATAACATCATTTTTAAAGATAAAAAATTTCTTCATGTTTCTTAATATGCAAATTTTCATTGAAACTTGTCGAAGCATTTGCAAATACAAAAATTTTTAATTCTTCAATGTGAAATAAATGATGAAAAAAAAAAAAAAACTGTATTTTCTGCATTCATATGTACTTTGATTTTTTTATACATTTATATGTATACCACAGCGCACATTCACTAAAAAAGACAGAATTTCGTATTTTATTTTATTTATTTATTCCACTTATACAAGAAACTCAACTAAAACTAAATGGCAGTCGAGTTCAATTGACTCTTAAGTAAATCTTAAAATTAATTAATAATAAAACTTAGTATAAGTACAATAAAACAAATAAGGAGGAAAAAAAGAAAAAAAAACATGTACACAATTAGCATAGAGCCACACCCACTACCGATACAGGACCAAATTGCAAATAAGCCATCGCAAACATGCATAAGCTTGGCAACCGATAATTGTTAACAACAAATTAATTTTCGACTCATAATGACCTATTTAAGGTTAAGTCAGTTTAAGTACGACATAGGTAAATCGCGCGTATTAAGCAATGTTGCTTTAATGGACTTTAAAGAGTCCGTTAATGAGAATAAATGATACACGTCATTTAGGTTCTTGCAAACAACTCTGAGCGGGTTAAACTATTCAAAATTATATTTGCATTGACTAAGCTTTATCAACATAAAGTGCCTAGAGAAGCGGTTAGGGATTAAAGCCTATCTCACGAAGTAATGCGAGCGACTCAATTGCACCATTTATTAATTTGATTAAGAAGGAAACCCCAAGAACAAATCTACGTTTCTCAAGTGACGGTAAGGATAACAGAAGCAACCTATTTTCATAGGGTGGAAGAGGGGAAATCGGGTCCCAACCCAAATTCCTAAGGGCAAACAGCTAGAATTGCTTTTGTATAGATTCAATTGAATCTACGTAACACCTATATGAAGGAGACCACACAACGGAGGCATACTCAAGTATAGGTCTAACCAAACACGTGTAAAGCCTTTTCGTAATATAAGGATCATCAAGCTCTTTGGACCACCTCTTTATAAAACCAAGCGCGGACCTAGCTTTGCTTAACGAGGACTCAATATGCAAATTGAAACGTAACCTATAATCGAATAGAACGCCTAAATCTATGAACGAATCGACGTCTTCCAACCTGTGCGAATCAATGAAGTATTGAGTACTGAACGACTTCCTTCTCAAGGAAGAAAGCTTCTTACATTTATTTAGATTTAGTTTCAGAAGATTGAGAGAGCACCATGCAACAAAATTGTTCAAATCACTTTGAAGATGATTTGATTGCGATTCTACGAAAAAAGAAGAAAACAGTTTCACATCATCAGCATACATTAAAATCTCACTGAATTAAATCACGGAGGGCAAATCGTTGATGTATAAATTAAATAAAATAGGTCCCAAGTGGCTACCTTGAGGTACGCCAGAAGTCACGGGGAATTCATCCGAGGTAATGAGGTTAAACAAAACACTGAATGATCTACCATACAGACAAGAGCTTAACCATTCCACTAAGAAGATAGGAAAGCGAGAGATCTGGAGTTTAAATCTAAGAAGTCTATGATTAACCATATCAAACGCTTTGCTAAAGTCAGTGTAAATGACATCAGTGCGAGAACCACTAGAAAAAGCCTTGAAAACATAAGAAGTAAACTCCAACAGATTGGTCACCGTAGATCTTCCCTTTCGAAAACCATGCTGGAAAGGAGAAATATACAATTTCCACAATTCGCTCGAACAGTTTAGGTAAGACACTCAACTTGGCGATGCCTCTGTAGTTCTCTACAAGTTGCCTACTACCACTTTTGTGAATAGGAATAAGGAAAGAAGTCTTCCAACACAAAGGGAAAACACCTAAATTCAAAGACTTGTTAAAAATCTTTGAGATAACATCACAAAGCTCGCCAGCACAAGATATAAGTACACATGAGGGGATGCCATCGGGTCCAGGCGAACAATTATATTTCAGAGAGTTCAATCCTTCAAAAACGTCATTTTCCGATATAACAAAGTTAGGAATTGAAACCGAATTAGAAATCGAATATGGATAATTTTCCGATACATCAAAATTGGCAGTTGAAAAGTTCTGTCGGAAGTATTCCGCAAAGAGATTTGAGGATTCAAAATGAGATTTGAGGATTCAAAATCATCCGATGTTAACTTAACGATTGAATCATCCTATTAAAGCGATTAAATACAATAAATTTAAAGAAGGGAAGGTTTCAGAAATCGGGTCGATATTTCGTGTACATTGGTCTACTAAAGAGGCCACAATATAAAGAAAGCAGGAAGCAGTGGGTACTAAAGGAATAAAGTAGAACACAGATAGAGTTGCTATGTGATTGTTGTTATAACGCAATTACAAAACGACATTAGCGAAGGAAAAACACAGTTTTCTCTATTTATATATACTATTACGAGAACAATTACCTGATGCTGATGATTAACTGTTGGTTGGTTC